GTAGTGACTAGTCCGTGGTATATATGGATAGCGGGATTATACCTCCTGCCAACTTGGGGTTCAGAATATGAACAATGGGATTCTAATTTAATGCTCTAAAAGTGTCTTGTATAGTAGCATAAAGGATTCGTCCGCCCGGGGTTTACCCACGGTCTGACTTGATTAGTTAAGGTGGTTGGGACATGTGTTACGAATGCCCAACCACCGACTGCCTCGACGAGCTATGCTTTGTGGTTTGCCAGTAGGTTGGAATAGAGTTAAGGGCAGCCAGAACAAAACATGGCACAAATCCATCAAGTCGCCGACAACTGGACTGAGTCATGTTGGTAGATGTAGGCTACCTGGTTGGGGTCCACGAGATGATAATAACCGATGGTGAGAGACTCTGAGTGACATGGCTCAGAATCGTATGCAATGGTGTAGGTGCATCCATTCTATGTGTTCTCCCGAATCCTAATCTTCTGGATTCAACAACAACTCTACCTTTGTCTTTCTAACTTTATCTCACTGAATTATAGTTCTTGAATAATATCTTCAAATCCTAATCTTTTCCATTACCAGTAATACTTCTACTATCTCTACCATTATGGGATTGAATTGACAATTGCGTCTCTGTACTAACGTGGTATGGTAACCTGAACTGATGTACGTACATATGAAGTTCTACGTTGTAACTGACTGACTGACCCACAGTCTGAAACCCATACATGGGTTGGCAACCCTAACCCGTAGAAAATCAACTCGTTAAAAAAAACGCTAACCAAAATTGCTAAGGATATGAAAACCAAAATGATCTTCAACTCATTCTTGTATATTAGTTCAATTGGAAAACTTTCATACAGAATAAACAAGTCGAATATTAATAAACTCTATACTTTCAGGCTTTTTTTGATTGTGAAAAAACTCCAATTTATGGAGGTGAAGTTATCATTTTCAGTGTTTATAGTTGAAGATTATTCATTTATTCTACATGGTATTATTGTAATTGAAAAATGTTGAAAATTTCAAGTTAATCACAAATTATTAATAAAAGCTAAGTCATTAGCAGAGAATTAAATGATGGACACTTTTCAACAGAACATAATACTTCATGATGTTTGTTTGATACAATATTCAACGAGATGATAATAATCGATGGTTAGAGACTCTGAATGACATGGCTCAAAATCGTTCACAATGGCGCCGGTGCATTCATTCTTTGTGTTCTCTCAAATCCTAATCTTGTGGATTCTTCAACACTTATAGTTTTGACTTTCTAACCTTATCTCACTGAATCATACTTCTTGAATAATATCTTCCAATCCTAACCTCTCGGATTACTTCTAATACCTTTACTACCTCTACTACTATTGGATTTGAATTGACAATGATATCTCTGTGCTAATGTGTTGGTATGGCAACAGGAACTGATGTACTTACGTACGAAGTTCTACGTTGCATCTGACTGACTGACAGTAATTATAACAACAAAAATCCTATTTCAATAAATTATTAAGGAAAACCACATTAAAACTATCCAGTAGACAAGCTGATAATGTTAAATAATATTGTGGATTCTAGATCCCGAGAAATTCGGTAATTTTATTTCTGAAAATTTAAATTTCTTATGGTCGCGCCAAACATGTCCTTTATTACCTTCATTTTGTGTTACGCACTTACAAAAACCTTAAATTTCATTGGTTAGTTTTCTTTTTTTAACGTGCTTTTCTTTTAACTTATCCAACTGGATAGTTCTTTTTTCTATTACGCTTGAGTTGAAATGCTTGTCAATTTGTTCGCACGAGGTTGCTTTTGCGCATTATACAATCTTCCCGTTAGCTGATGACGAGGCATTTGGCTAACTTAATAAGAGAGTCATAGTTAATTCATTCCTAACTTGGTTAACTCTACAAATCACTGATTCTTAATAGAATATTAAAAAACTGATTTCCCAGCTTACTTACTTAGTTTACAATGAACAACAAACGAAGACAATGAAAACTATTCATAAGTAACACAACTTTTACTGAACCATTTAAGAAGTGACAGAATATATTTCGGTACATGTTGACCGAAAAAGTTTAATAATTATTATTATTATCATGTTATTTGTTGGTAATTTGTTTGAAATCTGATCAGTCTTAATTGGTATACATGAATGAATCCTGTGTGTGGATTGTTTTTTTTTCTATACAGCAAAAAATGTTGACACAAATTAATAACATAGACTGATCAAATTTCAATCAAAGCGCATTAAACAACTAGATTATCTCTAAAATCCACTACAAATGAGATCGGTTATTTGCACTCATCAAATTAGTAGTGTACAAGGCGTAGGTGTTTTGGCGCGGCAAAATATTGAATTCAAAACCTGCTGGAGTGACACACATTCACTCTGTAATATAAGTGTATTCCAGCTGATGAGTTCCAAATGGTCAGTCAGTCAGATGCAACGTAGAACTTCGTACGTACGTAAGTACATCAGTTCATGTTGCCATACCACATCAGCACACAGAGATGTAATTGCCAATTCAAATCCAATAGTAGAAGAGGTAGTAAGGGAATTAGAAGTAATCGGAGAGGTTAGGATTAGAAGATATTATTCAAGAAGTATGATTTAATGAGAAAAGTTTAGAAAGTCAAAAGTAGAGGAGTGAAAGAATCCAGAAGATTAGGATTTGAGAGAACACAAAGCATAAATGCACCGGTGCCATTGCGTACGATTTTGAGCCATGTCATTCAAGGTCTCTAACCATCGATTATAATCATCTCGCGGACCCCAACCAGGTAGTCGACAATTACCGACATGGCTAAGTCCATTCGTCAATGATTTCATGGATTTCTGCATGTTTTGGTCTGGCCGCCCCTAGCTTTCTTTCAACCTACTCCTACACTACAAAACAAAGCGCGTCGAGACAGTCGGTGGTTAGGCATACGCAGCACATGTCGCAACCAGCTCAACTGATGAAGTTTCAGTACTTCATCTATTGATCTGCCATTCTTACCTAACACCCGACCGTAGCTGCTACCTTGATGTGGTGGTCGGGCTTGCCTATCATGATGACCCAACCGAGCTATATTGGCTGGAACATATGTTCCTGAAGGTCCTACCATGCCAGACAGGTCTATTGGAGAACGATGAGACTAAAAGCAGCTACTCAAGGTTTGAGGGCGAAGTCGTACTGCTGACTGTAGAGGGGTGTGACAGCAGTAAGGTGTTTCCCTCAGACAACCAGCATCTGCAGCGATGCTGCCTTCTCACAAGGAAGGAAGGGTTAGAAAAGGTCGACCCTAAAAATGTCACACCTCACCCTACCTCACGGATTTCCGTCTACGGCGGTAAGGGTGCCCACTAAGGGCTTTTAAGAACGGAGCTAATCCTCAAAAAACCTTTCATAAGAAGGCCGTGCGTGACCGGACTGAAGCAGTTGTCCCTTGGACTCTGCGGTCACGCTCTCAGATCTCTAAGACCAACACTAATCTACCTTCCTTTTCAGGTTCCACAAGAAACATCCTCCCACGGTGTGGGCAGCCGGGAAGTGATACCCGTAACAGCACGAGACCAATCTGATCGAAATCAAATCCTTCCTACACCCACACATACCTCTCTTCTCTCCACAACTAACTCTACTCATATTCCCTTATCTGACTGACTGCACAGCAAATGCAAACGATGCGAGTTCACGAAACGTCATTCTTGGTCTCTTGAAACCTCGGTTGTAGTTCCAAATAGGACCGAAACCACCCCGCATCCTAAATTCCATTGTCAATTACATTTTTAGCTATTTTTATTTATGTAAATATTAATATTGTCGATAATAATAATGACGAAAATTTTTTTTATTCTATGCCATATGTTTTGGTTACAGTTTAAAAAAAGAAAAGATTCTCAACAAAATCATTATGACAAATTCGCTTTTTTTTTCTATCACAATTCAATCATTTCATGTTCTGACAGAGTTCCGTTCTGCTTGAAATCATCATCATCATCACCAACAGAAAAATACAGTCTACACGAGCGATAAGTTGTATGGTTTTTGACAGAAAAAAAAGTTATGTAAATATATAAACATGATCGATAAGAGTTGAAGCGATTTTTCACAGAAGAAAAAACAAACCCCAATGCAATGTGTGTGACGAAAATTACAGTAAGGCATTAATCAAATTTTCTTAAAGTTTAATCAGACCACTAGAACAGCGAACATAGTGTAAAAAGAGATAGTTAGGCTTTTGCGAATAACAATGTAGTTAACATTGAAATCATTAATCCATCATTGGTTAAATCACCACCAAAATATCTGCAACTCCAAACAACTTTCAACCATAACTAAAATCAAAATTTTCAATACAAATGTCAAGACAGTTCTACTGTATGGAGCAGAAACATGGGGAACTACCAAAGCCATCATCCAGAAGATATAAGTGTTTATTAACAGTTGTCTACGCAAAATACTGAGGATTCGTTGGCCAGACAACATCAGCAACGACGTACTGTGGGAGTGAACAAACCAGATTGCAGTGCAGGAGGAAATCAAGAAGAAGTGGTGGAAGTGGAAAGGACACACACTGCGAAAAGCACCGAACTGAGTCCCAAGACAAACTCTCACATGGAACCCTCAAGGTAAAAGGAAAAGATGAAAGCCAAGGAACACATCACACCGAGAAATAGAGAAAGACATGAAAAGAATGAACAAAAATTGGACAGAACTGGAGAGGGAAGCCCAGGACAGAGTAGGTTGGAGAATTCTAGTCGTCGGCCTATGCTCCATTGGGGGTAACACGCGTAAGTAAGTAAGTAAGTATTAGAAACAGGAAAGCAATGAAAGACGGCCGTTTTATCCTGGTATAGGACTAGTCATCAGTGACAGTGCGTATCTACAACTCCTGTACCTCGCACACAATTCGAACGCAGGACTTTCGGGTCTTGCGCTCACGAACGCCTAATTGTCATTAGAATACATGAAAATCATGATTCCAGTTAATACACTTTTTTAAAAAAATAGACAAAAACAAGTACTTACATTCAAATGCAAATTATTCCCTCTTTCTGATTGTGTATCACCTTGTTCCATGATAGATGATGATTCCGGTGAAGATGGATAAGGAATAGGCGCTGTTAAATCGCCTTGAGATTTATGAATCCATTCAGTGACACGTTTATAAGCTGTAGCCGGTGAGACTGGACTAGAATAAACTGGTCGATCAATAATACCACTACTACTACCAACACCAACACCACCGTAACCATTCGCAATTTTCAAAGATGCAGCCGTATCTACAGAACCAATTTCACTAGCAGCAACTTCCAGTGGAGATTCATCTAGGTCATGATGATGAGGATCAATGAATTGATCTTTAAGCGTTGTATTATTATTCAACATGTCAATAGTTACATTTTCATGTGTAGATTTTTTACGAGCCAACACTAATTCAATACGAGATGGTAGATGACGTAAATAACGAAGAGTACTAGTATGTGATGTACCATGTATACGATGACCATTAGCCTGAAAAAAAGTACAAAGAAAATTTTTTTTAAAAAAAGGTTAAACATAATCATTGACGAAGAGTGAAAACAAGAAAGAATCGATATGATCCGGTGGCCCATTATTAGTTTAGTCAGTTACAACGTAGAACTTCGTACATAAGTTCAGCTGCCATACCGGATTAGCACAGATATGAAACTGTCAATTCAAAACCTATAGTAGTAGAGATAGTGGACGTATTCGAAGTGATGGAGAAGATTACGGTTCGAAGATATGATTCGAGAAGTATAATTCCGTCACACAACTTTAGAAACAGAAAGACAGAGATAATGAGGAATTGTGGAGATTGGAATTTCATAGAACAGAAAGAGTGGATGCACCTGTGCGGTTGCGAACGATTTTGAGCCATGTCGTTCAAAGCCTCTAACCATCGGTTAGTATCCTCTCGCGAACTTCAATCACATAAACTACACCTACCAACACGACTCAACCCAGTTGTCAGTGACTTCATGGATTTTTGCCATGTCTCGGATTGGCCGCCCCTAAATTTCTTCCAACCTATTCCTACACCACAAAACAGCTCGTCGAGGCAGTCGGTGGTTGGGCATACGCAACACATGTCCCAACCACCCCAACTGATGAAGTTTCAATACTTCATCTAATGATCTGCCATTCTTACCTAGTACTCGATTCTTAACTATAGCATTGTTTACTCGCTTGTTCCAGGATATACGAGCAATGCTTTGAAGACATCTATAATCGGATGCAAATAATATACGAATTTCCTGTACTCTTACCACATTTCGCATCCACATAGTAGGACTGAGAGAACTACTGCGCAGTACACTCATCCTTTGGTCAGTAAACGGATATCTCAACTACGCCATAAGTGACGCAAGTTGGCAGAAGTCAATCGAGCCTTCTGTATCCCTGCTGAGATTTCGTCAGTCACCAGGCCATCAGCACTGATGAGACTTGCAAAATAAATGAAGCGGTCAACACGTTCAACTATATCACTTCCTATAACTAGTTCAGGTACCGTCTCAAGCCAATCTTAAAACAACATTTTGCATTTCGAGGAGGAAAATCACATCCCTGTGGCCTATTTGAAAACATTCGAATCCTATTTCTACATACATTTTATATCACTTAAAAATATAGTCAAATATGTTATCAATATCTCATGATTTATTCATGAATTTATAGAAACAATGAATAAACTAAACAGTTTAGAATTTATAGTCACTGATAAATGAATTAAGTATGTAGTGAAAGAGAACACAGGTGGGGCAACCGGATTGTATTTAACGAAAAAATTGGAAAACCATATCGTAAATCGTTAATTTGCAACAGATCAGTTCATCATATCGAACTGGACTGTTCCTGTTGCAAACATCAATCCATTGTCACTATTCATGTGTTTCATACAAATTCCATTGTGTTCTAACTCTTCCTTTCTTGCTGATCTTTCCCCCATCTTCTGCTGCCAGACATTACGTTGACACTCACGTCATATACTACTTATCAGTAGCTCTCACCACAAGTAGACAAAGTGAATGTAGTTTTTTAGAAAAGCCTACCGAACAAATATCGAGAATGAACTAGGGAAATAAACTCAAATGTTTTATTTTTAATCGCATACGTACAAATGAGATTTAACACTCATCGTACATTAGAGAATGTGGTGGTATATCTATCTAACTACCAAATTGAATTATTTGTTCTAGTTGGCGTCTATTTTTTTTAGCAAAGTGGTTTTCAAAGAGATGGGGTCGTTAATTCTTCTATGGCCCAACTCTCTTCCTTTATTTATCCGGGTTTAGTAGTGGCAGTAGCTCTAGACAGAGCTCTAGGCAGAATTCACACAGGATGCCACTGTGATAACAAAAATCCAAATATACTACTATTAACAAAAAAACGAACATTTGAAGCTTCTTAAAAACACAAAACTACCTTTGAGCGCTACAAACAAAATTTACATAAGTATTTAAGGTTTCCTATAATTCAACAATAAATTGGTCCTGGAACACAAACACACATTTAGACGTCCGACAATAGTCGTCTTCCTGGACCTAAAAGCGGCATTTGACTCAGTGGATGGTGAGGTTTTGTGGCAGTGTCTGTTATCAAAAAGTGTACCAAAGAAGTACATTAACTGTATACAAGCTCTCTACTTGAATACAACTGGTCGAGTGAGAGCTTATGGCGAACTGTCATTTGAATTCGCTATATGAGGTGGTGTTCGTCAGGGATGTCCACTCTCTCCATTCTTGTTTAACTTTGTCGTAGACATCATCATCATCATGTGTTACGTATGCCGAACCACCGACTGCCTCGACGAGCTATGTTTTGTAGTTTAGGAGTAAGTTGGAAGAAAGCAAGGGGCAGCCAGACCAAAACATGACACAAATCCATGAAGTCACTGGCAAGTGGACTGAGTCTCATGTTGGTAGATGTAGACTACCTGGTCGGGGTCCGCGAGACGAAAGTCACCAATGGTTAGAGACCTTGAACGACATGGCTCAAAATCGTTTGCAATGGCGCAAGTGCATCCATTCGTTGTGCTCCCTCAACAAAATCTTCTGGATTCCTCAGCACCTCTACCTTTGTCTTTCTAACCTTATCTCACTGAATTATTATACTTCTTGAATAATATCTTGAAACCCTAATCTTCTTCATTACCATTAATACCTCTACTATCTTTATCACACTATGGGATTTGATTTGACATCTGCGTCCTTGTGCTAATGTGATATGGCAACATGAACTTATGTACATACGTACGAAGTTCTACGTTGCAACTGACTGACTGACAACAATAAAATTTGTGATTCAAAAAGTAAATGTATCTTTCCCCAGCCCCCCTCCTTAAAAATAAACACTACATTCTTACCTGAAGTATTTCATCACCAATTTGTACAACACCTAAACTACCAATTAAACCATCTGGTACAATATATTGAATAAAATGACGTGAAGGTCTATTATTATGATTATCATGATCATCATTATTGGAATGAATTGATTTGGCAAATCCATTTGGTAATTGTGAATGAGTTGAATTGGTTGTATTTTCAATTTGTTGACTATGATTATTATTATTATTATTATTATTATTATTTATTGATGATAAATTTTCATGACTGAAATCTGGTTCCACCACATAGGTTATACCTTCTATACTTATGCCTAGATTTGAGATTCCATGAGATTTATGGATATGTAATACCTAGAAAATAAATATAGATAGATAGATATAAACAGATAGAAATAAATTATTATTATTGAGAGTAATTTAATGTATACCTCAATGCACAACCGCTGACTGCCTCGACGAGCTATGTTTTATGGTGTAGGTTTAGGCTGAAAGAAAGTTAGGGGCGGTAAGATGAAAACATGGCAGAAATTCATGAAGTCATTGACAAGTGGACTGAGTCATATTAGTAGATGTAGGTTACCTGGTTGGGGTCCGCGAGAAAAAAGTCACCGATGGTTAGAGATCTTGAATGACATGACTCAAATTCGTCTGCAATGGTGCAGGTGCATCTACTCTTTATGTTCTCGCAAATCCTAATCTTCTGGATTCGACAACACCTCTACCTTTGTCTTTCTAAATTTTTTTAACTGAATTATACTTCTTGAATAGTATCTTCAAATCCTAATCTTCTCCATTATCAGTAATACTTCTACAATCTTTGCCGCTATGGGATTTCAGTTGAAAATTGCGTCTCTGTGCCAACGTGGTATGGCAACCTGAACTGATGTACTTACGTACGAAGTTGTACGTTGTAACTGACTGACTGACTAACTGTTGTATTGCTCCTACTACCTTGACTTATAATGTTCGATTGCATCTCTTTTAAGCATGCATATAGCTGAAGCTGTAAAGATTCGAACTAACGATTCAGACAGACAGACAGATACAACGCAGAACTTCGTACATAAGTACATCAGTTCAGGTTGCCATGCCCCATCAGCACAGAGACCCAACTGTCAGTTCAAATCCAAGAGTAATAGCGATATTAGAAGTATTAGCAGTAATCGGGAAGATTAGGGAGCGAAGATATGATTCGAGAAGTATAATTCAGTAAGATACATTTAGAAGGAGAAAGGTAGAGCTTACGAGGGATGCAGAACTAACAATGCAAGTGTATTTGTTCGCATAAGAAATATGTAATATATCCTTTATTCATGAATATTTTCCATGAGGGTTTTTTCTTCACACCCTTTTTTATTCAATTGTACATTTCACTTGTCTGATTATCTGAACATCACTTCTTACTACGTGATTTTGATCATTTTCAATCAAGATTATTTCAATGTTCACTAGTTTTTTTTCTTCAATTCTTTAACCTACTTCCTCCTATTCTGGGAAACACATTCATTCATTCAAGGCTCTAATGATTCTTATCATAACTAGGACAGTTTATTTGTGTAAATTAGTTCACTGTTATATCTATCTCATTGACTCATCAACTGATTTGATTAGTTTTAACAAATTCATATATATACATATATATATATATATATATATATATATATATATATATATATATGCTTATAAGTAATATTGTAATCAGAAAGTAAAGTTTGATGAGCATCTCATTGAAAATACTACTGTTTGCGTTCAAACATGTTTGATTGTGTAATTCATTATATGAGGACTTTTATGATAAAATGTAATTGAAAGTAATTTTTCAAAAAATGAGAATTATACTTTGTAATGCAATAAAAAGTCTAAATCTACTATGCCTCTTAAGAATGTCAACTATACACTGGTGGGGAAATGACCATTCAATGCTTTGAGATTTTCAATGATGATTTAGCTAAGATTAGTTTGTGATATAAATTGTTAAGAATCAACAATCTCGACAAATCCCTAATCAATCAGTCAGTTACAACGTAGTACTTTGTACGTACGTACATAATTCCAGGTTGCCGCACCACATTAGCACAGAGAGATCGCATTGTCAATTTAAATCCCGTAGTGGTAGGAATAGTAGAAGTATTAGCGGTAATAGAGAAGATTAGGGTCCGAAGATATTATTCAAGAACTATATTTCAGTGAGATAACTTAAGAAAAAGAGAAAGATAGAGGTTGGGCATTCGTAACACATGTCCCAACCACCTCAACTGATGAAGTTTCAATACTTCATCTATTGATCTCCCATCCTTACATAGTACTCATTTCATAACCATAGCATTGCTTACTCGGTTGTCCCACGACACACGAACAATGCTTCTAAGACATCTATGACCGAATATTAGTAACCTCCGAATATCTTCTACTCTTACCGCCCATGTTTCGCATCCATATAGGAGAATGGAGCGAACTGTTGCACAATACCCTCGACTTTTGGTTAGCAAAAGGATATCTTGCCCATACTATAAATGACGAAGGTTAGCAACAGCCAGTCGAACTTTCTGTATCCGTGATGAGATTTCATCACACACCAGGCCATCAGCGCTGATGAAACTCCCAAGATAAGTGAATCGGTCTACACGTTCGACTACTTCACTCCCTATCACTAGTTCAGGTGCCGATGAAACCTAATCTTGAAGCAACATTTTGCTTTTCGAGGGGGAAAACCGCATCCCGAACATGCTTGCATTGTTGCTTAGGGTGGTCAGAAGACTCTGCATTTTGTCAGCGTCTTCACCAAGTAGGACTATGTCATCGGCATATTCTAAGTCAGTAAGCAAGCCACCTGGTAAAAGGTCTACTCCAGAAAATTCAGACGAGTATAAGGTTATTTCTAGGAGCATGTCTATGATAAAATTAAACAAGAATGGAGAGAGTGGATATCCCTGACGGACACCACTTGAAGTAAAGAATTCCGTTGACAGTTCGCCATAAGCTCTCACTAACATGGCTCAGTCTAATAGTCAAAAACTTCATGGATTTATGCCATGTTTCAGTTTGACCGCACCTAGCTTTCTTCTTCCAGATTGAAATCTTATTCCATTTCTTGTTTAGTAAGTTATTCATTGTAAACTTTATATTTTTTTTCCCTACGACTTGAAATTAATGAATGAAAATTACATAACAAACCATAAATAAATACTTACAATATTTGTAATAATCATTACAAATCAAAAACATGGCAGAAATCCATGAACATGGGACATGTGTTACGAATGCCCAACCACCGACTGCCTCGATGAGATATGTTTCTTGGTACAGGTTTAGGCCGGAAGAAAGTTAGTGGCGGCCAGACCAAAACATGACACAAATCCATGAAGTCACTGACAAGTGGACTGAGTCATGTTGGTAGATGTAGGCTACCTGGTTGGGGTCCGCGAGACGAATTGTCATCGATGGTTAGAGACCTTGAATGACATGACTCAAAATCGTTTGCAATGACGCAGGTGCATCCATTCGTTGTGCTCTCTCGAATCCTAATCTTCTGGAATCATCAGCACCTCTACCTTTGTCTTTCTAACATTATCTCACACTGAATTATACTTCTTGAATAATATCTTCAAACCCTAGTCTTTTTCATTACTATTAATACCTCTAATATCTTTATCACTATGGGATCTCAATCGACAATTGCGTCTGTGTGCTAATGTGTTATGGCAACATGAACTTATGTACACATACATACGTAGTTCTACGTTGCAACTGTCTGTCTATTACACACAAAAAAGAACAATCATTGAAAATGAAATAGTAGTCTAACAACAAATGTCACATAATTGATCATTACAATTCATAAATAAAGAAAAAAATCTCTTCCATGAAAGCATTCTAAATGCATCATATCAGTCACTAACTACTAGAAGCATACAAAATTACCCATATAGATAATCAATAGTAACAGTATATCATTTGCTCTCTCTCTCTCTCTCTCTCTCTCTCTCTCTCTATATATATATATATATATATATATATATATATATATATATATATTATGACTCTATTAAATGTGATACTGTAGACACGTACATACATGCAGTTAAAAGAAACATGATTAGATTATATATATAATCACTCATGGTTTGGATGGTATATGATCATATACACCAAAATATACACATAGTATGACATAAATATTATACAAAGCAATGAAAATAACATGATAATAAAATGATCCGATGAAAATATGACTGATAAGAAAAGCAAAGAAAAGCAAAGCAAAACAAAGAGATGATGGAATAAAATTTAGGAGACAAACTAAAAAACATAATAGAAGAACATATTCATCAATAATGACTAACAAATCTATCAACCAGAAGAATAATAGGTCAGTGTATTTATTCTGTATTACAAATGACATGGAATAGTTGATTGTCATCTATCAAGCTTACAAACATGAATTTGTAATAGAGAGATAGATAGATAGATAGATAGATAGATATAGAATATGTGAAGAAAACTTTTGCTAATATTATTATGCAAGCAAGCCCGTATCAGCTGAACTAGTATATGTATTATGCGCCAACATAATGATACTCACACTACTAGTATTATTCACATAATTTTATAATACATAGCAATACACAAATAGGTGTACAAACAAACATACAAAAGAGAAATGTATGGCTCGTCAAGTTTTTTTTTTCTGTAGATTTCAAACCATTGTTCAATCTAGTTAGAATGTAGACTCCAGACAGATAGACAGACAGACAGATATAACGCAGAACTTCGTACATAAGTACATCAGTTCATGTTGCCATACCACGTCAGCACAGAGACGTAACTGTCAGTTCAAATCCAACAGTGATAACAATAATAGAAGTATTAGCAGCAATGGAGAAGATTAGGAAGCGAAGATATGATTCGATAAGTATAATTCAGTGAGAGGAATTTAGAAAGAGAAAGACAGAGATTATGAGGAATTTAGGTTAGAATTAAAAAGAACACGAAGAGTGGATTCACCTGAGCCATTGCAAAACGATTCTGAGCCATGTCGTTCATGGTCTCTAACCATTGGTGACTATCGTCTCGCGGACCCCAACCAAGTAGTCTACATCTACCAACATGACTCAGTCCACTTGTCAGTGACTTCATGCATTTGTGCCATGTTTTGGTTTGGTCGTCCCTAGCTTTCTTCCAATCTACTCCTACACTGAAAAACATAGCTCGTCGAGGCAGTCGGTGTAGACTCTAGTCAATGAAATTATTTATGTACCAAAAAAATAGGGCCTAAAGAAATGATTCTATTATAAATTGCATTGAAAACTAACTCTTTTAAACTATCAAATAGAAGGAAACCAATTAGTTGATAAGATATTGGTTCAAGGCACGAAATTCTGTCTCTAAAAGAATTGTAACTTTATACATGTATTGTCTTTATTGCCCTTGGATTGGATTGTAGTTTTGATTTATATAAGTATTCTCTTCGTAAGACAGTACTTTTATTTGACGACCAAACTCCAATCTGAATATATGTTGTTAGATTTCAGCATTCAAAGTGCGTTTACAAACAAGATGTTTTCGATTTAGTAGATGAAATCTTAAGCTATCTGACCAATCTGGAAGAAAACCACAACTTCAGTAAAGTATATAATCAGTTAACCAAGTCTTTCCACCATTTCAGTTGCTTAACTCACTAAATACTGCTCTTTTGAAGGACAGTTGCAAAGCATATACTCTCACAAGTATAGAGAGTAAACAAAGGGATCACTAAACAATAAGAATGCTTTGCTGTCAATGTTTATACTTGAATGAAAAAAAAATGCAATTCAAAAACTTGTTGTTCGAAATCTCAGACCCCACAGTTTTTGATAAATGCCCATTTAGAAGTAACTATAAGCTTATTTTCTTACTGTTGGGGAAATGGAGTCGTTCGACAGTTATTTATGCATGAGTTTTCCAACAAGGGTGAATTAAACAGTATACTACTGTCTGATATGATTAGGGAATAACCTTATCAATGGTAGGCTCTTTGTAGACAGAAGTTACGAGGATTATGTTGCTGCATGTACCACAATAACCATATTAGTTCACTGTTTGGATTTTGTTCACATTAACTTCAAATGGCAACCACTAATCACTAACACTGAGCGAGCTTGTTAACCTTCATTACAAGTAATGACAGAGTGATATAGTATTACTTTCCAAGATGACCAAGTTAGGGGTAATAAATCTGACTCTAACACATGTGAATCAGTGAATGGAGTATTAAACACAAAATAAAAACTTGATGAAACTGAATGGTGTACCTAAATAAGTGGTAAGTTTTAACTAAGACTTGTATTATGAGTGATCGAGATCAACTGTTTAGCATCCATGATCTACAAATAACTTCCATTCGGAATGTAACTGGACAATATTTCACAAATAACAAAACAGGTTTGAAAAAGAAAGAATATATTTTGTGAAGATACTTACTATGATATCATAGCCAGGACCGACAATCGGAAGCCAAACTTTACGCATGAGATCAACCAACTCGTCTGTAACTTCATTTGCTAGTTCCCAAAAAAATTGGAAAAAATATGATAAATTCACAGTATTAGATCAAATGAAATAACTAGGAGGTTTAGTACCATAGTTAAAACAAAATAGGATACTGCATGAATGTGAATGTATACAGATTAGCACAGATCACATAATGAATGGTATCTGCCATAAATATTCTTAGATCGATAATTTAACTGAGCACTGAGACAATCAAAGACCGACACTATTTTATCATATTTACCTAAAATACCTAATCATGCCTCAGTATTCACAGAGCTTAATTGTCGATCATTAATACTAGGTGATTGTTTTGTACCGAAATTCCTGCAGAAACTTACTGAGATAGATGGGAAGACACAGAAAATCATAAACAGGCATGGAAATTTCGAATGTTAGTTTTGGTTTTTTTAAGAGTTAAAGGACATAATATCCATCTATTTAGTAAAAAACTGAAGCCAAGATAACCAGATGACCAGAAGCTCCAAAGTAGTTGAATTTTTTCTGGAAATAATGATGATCGAGTAACTAGGCAATCCGTTTTATAATAATCGAATTGGATCACTATAACACAGAAGTATGTCTTAAAGCTGGTTATACAAGCCTATACTCGATAAATGGGCTATTTTACTTATTATGGCCTGTAATTATTTTAGCTGTTCTCGAAAAAAAAGTTAAAATAGTTCAGATGTGTATCAATCTCTAAATAAGCTGACTGCAAGCAATGAGTTGCAAGATTGGAATAGTACAAAAGTTACAAAACAGTTGTCGTTTATTCTGATTCGATAAGATATTTATTAGATTCGATAGTATTGGAACAATAATTTATAGATATGTAAGAGATACCAAAGTGGCCCCAAGTAACTATAGATACATACAAGCATCAAAGTCAAATGAAAAATTAATGTGAGGAATCAGGATTAGGAGTCACAGTTGGAATTGAGGATTAGTGATTAAAGCTAAGGTTTCTATTCACAACATATCACCGTCTGTGTAGCTGAGATTCAATCTAGCTAAATAAAGAGATGTATTCAAAGCAAAAACTTCATATCTCTTCCATACATGATTGTCTCGCCGATATATCACAATTACATTTGTGTACAAAATATATCTGAGTGACTCAAAACATCTGCAGCGTCGATTCTCCTTAATTCGGGAATTCTTCCACCGGTAAGTAAGTAGGAAAACTACAAAACTAGAGAATTGCTAACGCATATTTTGTTAATAAACACAATTGCACTACAGCTTTCATAGTGGTGTAGCAGAATTAGTGCTTCTGAATAGCTATTTCAGTACAGTTACACAAGCTGCATGCTAGACTTGGCGTTTTTGTCCAGCTTGACCTACATACTTCTCGATGAATGCAATAAGCACATGTATTTATGCATTGTTCATACAAAAATAGGTCGTAACACCATGGAAGTACAGTTAATAGAATCAATTAAACGTGAAGTTTAAGAAGTGAGGTGCATTAGAATTCGCATCATTGTCTTTGATATCTTACCATAAAAATCAGCTGACCGATCACGAAGAGCATTTCGTGTATGGGAGTTGGTAAAGCTTATGATGTTACTTATGTAACGGCGAAGTCTTCTTTTGATGTGCATGACTGATTTTTGAATAAATAAAACTTATATGTTTTTGTATAATATCCGCTATGACAACAGAAGACATGAAGTGCAGAACGAGAAGTTATAAAATGAAGAACAAGGACAAATGAAGCGCGTAAAGCCAAGATTCGAAGCGCCCGCCAAGTTTCGGCCCAACTTCGTTGATTGGAATAAATCCAATGCCTCATTAAATTCTAACCAAATATCGTATCATAGTTTCCGTAAATTTGAATACAAGATTCGTTAGGCAAATTTCATGTGATTATAAACTCTTGCTAATATGACAAACTGGTTTTTATAGTTTATGTAAGTGTATGAAGTGAATCACGGAGTAGCTTCTGCCAGTTTTCAATAGTGCAGATGTCACGGATATTCAGAGGTAGGTAATTTTTTGTCTGTCAAATCTCCCAGATCGACATTACCAAAGATAAGCTCGACCAGATATCACGAATAAGGAGGATTGAAGGTATATTAGAACAATGGTGTGGACGTCGAAAAGCCTGTCAAGCGGGGATCTGGAGTGAATGAGTGACCAGAAGCCTCTAGCTAGGGTTTGTCCAGCATTTTCGAGAATTATTGATGGGCTTATACACACTTATGGTGAGCTTTCCAGTAATTCTAGGTCATTCTACGGTTTACAGACATAAGCAGTTCCCTTCATTTCATGCCAGCTTTCGCCGTCGTCACCTCAAAGTAGCATTAGAGACTTAATGATAGTTGGACGTTCATGCACACATAAAATATTCAGCACTAGGAACGTAGTTACGAGATAACTACCAATCACTACTTTCTAAGAATAGCATTTGCAGTAGATTCTTATTTTCTGGTAGGTCTAAAAATACCAAAACATTTCAGCCCTAAACTTGATCTCATGTACAATGTACTCTTGAGATATTTGTTTCCATGAGGTCCAGTGGTCAATCATTTTACCATTCCAACCAAGATACTAGTAAACATAATAGGTCTGCATTCTCACATATGTCTTCTTGATTCGGGTTAATAGATCTGAGGATCATAATCCTAACTAAAATACTGCTATTCCCCGAAATTGCAGACAATGAAGTGAGTTTGTAAGGCATGACACTTCTGATACGATAGGGTAAACCAGACAGGAGGCAGGGTGATCATATATTAACAGACATTTAAAAGCCAAAAGAATGGCATTGGTTGATTCCAAAGACGACTTGGGACAGTCATTAGGAGCGCTGGGCTTACTGAACATGTATGCAGTGCCACTAGACGGACCAAGGATCATTTCTTAACAAATGATCAGCGCCTTGTTGAAGATGTTCACCAATAGGAAGTAGTGACCATGGTACAGTCTTGTTTAACATGATCATAAACGAAACACTCAGGAAGGACGAAAATGAGCCCTATCTTTGCTACAGTCGGACAAATAACACCTGTATGAGAAGGCATCTTATAAACACACTTTGGCCACGGGAATCGCGGAGACTGACAGTAGATAAACACTAGAAAACAGTGACAGACACCATTCAGAATGCTGTTGTAGAGAATGTACGTCACTTACACCACAACTGGAAATAGGAGAACATGGATTAGGTGCGGCACTAAACGCTTGCTAAGGGCGAAGATGAGAGCCTGGCACAAGTGGAAGGTCTCCTTGAAGGATTTCGATCGTAGTTCTTACTTGGCATTGAGAAACAGATGCAATACCAAAGTTCGAAGTGATAGGAGACGCTTTCAGATGAAGCTTGCTGTACAAATACAGGCAAACCCTATGCATCTGTTTAGGTTTATGACAATAAGATAACCTACGAATCAGGATGTGTGTTCTCTCAAAGGTCTAAATGGGGAAGAACTAACAAACCTAGAGATGGCTGAGATCTTTAACACAAACTTGACCGACCATTTAAACCAGTCATCCACATGTTCAGAGTACTAGTAAAACTTATGCCAGCTGATAGCCCCGGGAATATCCGACTTACTCCCAACTTAGTACCAAGAAAACTAAAATCCTTGCACCCAGGAGAGTCATCAGGATGTAACAATATTTGCCTCATAGTCTTGAAACAGTCTGCAGTAGCCCTCAGTTCACGAACATATCACCTGTTCAGACATTCATTGAGGTCACACCAACTCCTACCTGAATGAAATTGAGTTACTCTCTCTGCAATCTTCAAAGGAGGGGATAGAAAGGACCCAGCCTCTTACAGACTAGTCGCATAACTATGAATAAAATCGAAGGTATTGGAATGGCTGATGAACGAACAGATGAGGCAGTAAATGAATAATAATAAAATACTCCATGAAGCTCAACACGGGTTTTGGAAAGGCTGGTTGTACGCATCTAATCTTCGCATAGCATGGGACAACTGAACATCCTGTTTGGACCGTCAAATACCGGTGCACTTAATATTTCTGGACTTTGCAAAAGCCTATGACACAGTACCCCACTCACGCCTAATCGCAAAGGTTGAGGAAACTGGCTTCACTGACCCACTCCTATCTTGACTCAGAAACTACCTTGAGAATAGAAAGTTTTGCACCAAGCTAAACAGAGTGCATGCAAGCTGAAGAGTATCCACATTGGGAGTTTCAAAGGGGACCATCCTAGGCCCACTCCTCTTCTTGATACTCATTAAAGATCTGTTAGACAAGGTTGGCTTGGCGGCACTGATGTACACAGAGGATACAAAGATTTGGAGGTCTCTTATATGCGAAGAGGATTTTACTGAGCTACAAAAGGACCTTACAGCAATTGAGGAATGGGCAGTGGAAAACAGTTTAAAAGTAAACAAGTGAACAATGTCACGTTAATTACTTTCTGCTCAACGTGATTCAAACAACTTACACCCTCAGTGGAAGTCCTCAGAGAGCGATCTCGGTCTAATAACCAAAGAAAACCTAGATATCAGTTGGAAATATGTAGGGGAAGCTGTTAAGGCTAACGCAATTTGTCACTTAATGAGAATACAACTTGGTGCGATCAACACACAATTATTCTTAACATCGTTTAAAACATACGCATGCCTACATCTTGAGGTTCAAGAAGTTATCAAACTCCTTCTCCATCAAAGGTACATAAGTCTCTTGGATCGAGTTTAGAGAGGAGCAACTAAATGGATAACAGGGTTGAAGAATAAACCATACGCAGATTGACTCCAGAAGTTGGGATTATTCTCTCTGAGTTACAGGAGAATCGGAGGTGATCTGATTATGGCGTACAAAGTATTAAACATACCAAACCTTCCCAATGTGAGCACCTTACTGAAGCATAACCATCACGCCCCTCCAGATAATTCTTGAAAAACTGCGCAGTTACGAGTGAGCACCCAGGTTCCTACATAGGTTTCCTTATAAGGAGTTGTCCCAACATGGAATGCTCTCTCAGCCGAGGTGACCACAGAACACTCAGTGGATAGCTTCAAGAAGCGACTTGATAATCCGTGTGTGAGTACGTATCTCTCACCTCCGTCTTTGACCAGCTGTACCTTATGCATGTCTTCAGACTTGCTAGTTGATATTATTGCCGTTTCCTCATATCACCGACTTAATCCATCTCGCTTATCACTTCCGTTCCCTTTTACAAGCCTAAACTTCCGTCCTCTCGCACAATCTTCACTACCAGTTAGTTAACTTGTTTTTCGATTTATATACTTAGTTCTGAAATATTCTTATTAGCAGTAGAATTTTCGCCTTATTATTCTCCACACTGCAACTAATTAATCTCCAGCCCAGTAGCGTGATAGCTGCTGGTATCTAGAAACCGTACTGCCCTAAAACAAGCGTACTCATTCAAATCACAAGACATGCAAACTCACAAACAACTGCCGAGTGATTGGAATTAGTGCGGTCGAATGGCTAGATTACCGTCGATTGGAACTGTACCGAAAGAAGAAGAATCGAGCTCAGAGAAATCAGCTGGTTTATACTAGCTCGTGAAAAAGATATTGGACATTGGATCTGAATAGATTTTACATTCTTTTTAAGTTGCTTACCTAATACTTTTCATAATTCAATGAAAAGTATCAAGGATTTTCTTGGGGGTGCTAAAGTCTATCAATCTGATTTAAACCTAAAGATGGTTAAGGTCAGAAATTTAGTTAACTGGTGTTTAATTTAACTGAGGAGACTGCCACCACAAACTTCACTTATTGTTCAGTCTGTGTTTTCAGTCTCAATTAATTTGTGTTTTAGTTGTACAACTTTCTTTGAAATTCACCAATTGTGTTTATACATATATTGTGTGTGTAGTATTATAGAACTATTTTACTCTGTTGTGTCAAGATTCAGCACAAAATTCCAGCATGGTTTCTCATGTAACAGAAAACACTGATTCTCATTTTTGTGATAATTACCTGATTTTAACCCCATTTAAATGATTTATATATGTCTTTAGCTGAGCTTTCCACATTAGCTTAGGATTTCGAGTCTTTTAAAACAGCCACTACACTTTTCCTTATCAGACCAAAATCACAGACATTAGAAAGGGTTGTTGTGTTCAGTATGGTAAGTCCTAAAAGCAACGAAGTTACACACACTAGCTGGTTGTTCATCCCAACTGGAGGTGGTATTTCTTTAAGTGTTTCCAGTAAAGGATTAATTATCAAACTGAATATTGTTAAGCCTTTCAAAATACTAAAAAATAAGATTGTTGACTAGATTGAACATTGATTTATCATCAAAATTGATCATTGAATAATTTATATTCTATTTCTGAGTTCAAATTACATTCAATGTGACTAGAATTATTCAAATTTTTTTTTTGCATGAATAACTTGCAATAACTTATGTAAATGTGTTTTAGCATAAATTTGAAGTAATTCAATAGAAACTTTCAGATATCTTGGCCAAATCGATCTTATAGTTAAGACTTTATGTCAAAACACTTTTAATGTTATGGTTTCATTTGAATAAAGTACTCAAAAAAACTTAAATAAATCATTGTTTTAAGGAAAAATTAAGGATGATTTTTACAATGAATAGAATTTTCATTATTTTATCATCATATAAAGAGAAAAATATCATGGCTTCATCAATAAGTCTTTGAGAATAGCCTAAAGCAATAGTGAGAACAATTATAGCCCAAACATTTTGGGGTAATAGATCTTACTTGACTACCATATCAATAAATATTTTATTGCAGCCTCATTGTTAACAATCAATCAATCAACAAACCAATGAACTTGAACATAATAAGTTGAAGTAAAGTTATCACTAATACAAAGTTTAAGCATGAAAGTTTATTTTTCATCCTGCGAATAATTGATTTGTTCACTATTTAATACCACTTGATAAGATTGATTGTAAAATCAGTTTTTGCGTTTCTGATTAACATTAAACCGGTTGTTATTGAAATTTAATATTGCCACACACCTAGTTGATGGAAATTTTTTCACACCTTTCTCCTACCTCCATCAATAATATATATTGATCAATATCTGACTTTTCGTCAAGTTTATTGTGTGCATCAAAAGGATGACTATAATATTTTCAGTTAAAGCTATGGAGAGTAGTGTGTTTTTACACATTTGAAATCATCATTTAGTCATTGTTAGACCACCACTATTAGAGACCTGGAAGCACTGGACAGCGGTTTTGTTCTCTGGTATGGGACTCATCGGTGGTAGTGTGCATCCACGACTCCTGTACCTCTCAGGATTCGAAACCGGGACCTTTGGTAAATCTCTAGATTAATCAGAGTTAGACATTAACACTGTTAGATGCCGGCCCAGTGATCCAGAGATTAGGCGTTCACGCACAAGACCGAAGGTTCTGGGTTTAAATCCTGTGGGGCGCAGGAATCGTAAATGCACACTACCACCGATCAGTCCCATACCAGAGGACAAAACGGCTGTCCAGTGCTTCCAGGTTTCTAGTAGTGGTGGTTTAACAATGATTGATTGATGATTTCAAATGACTAAAATACTTTCTTTTTAGTATAAAGCCATCACATTATTACTGTAATTATGCACTGATCTGAAATGATTTTCAAATCTTTTGAATTGCAGGAATTCCACATCCAGTCATCAAAACTAAATGAGATCTCCATGACATTCAACAAATAAAAATGACTGACAACCAATCAAACAATTATATTAGTGGAAAGAAAGTGTACTCATGGATTAATTGAGCATATTATCTATAATTACGGTCGCATCCTCAAAGTTTATCCTTAGGAGAATGTAAAAAAAACCAACAGTCCGTTGAATTTTCCGCCATACGTTACCGTTAAACTGTCAATTTTTTTTCATGGTTTATAAATAAAAATATCTTTAAATGATAATATAAATGATAAATGATATTGATTGAAAAACTAATCGCAAGAATAAACACGAAAATATTCTTAATAAACTTACCTATTTGAATCTGTTCATCATTTGATGTACTGATTTGCTCTGTATGATCAAGACAACTTTCATCGATTGCTAGTTTTGATTCGATAGTTGCATCATGACCATTGTAATTAATATCATCATCATCATCATCATCAGTGATTTGAACTAAAACATTACTAATCTTTTCAAGTGTCGTATTTTGACTATGTACTACTAGTTTAGATATAATTTCAAAATCAGAATTAGATGATGTGAAACTATTCATTCCTAATGTTTCATTATTCTCATCAACCTCATCATCATTATCAATCAGTTTAATGAATTCTTCAGTAGTTTGATTTGTAATCTTAGGAACAGGTGTTTGTGATTGGTGTTCAACTGATTCAATGTTCAATAATTTACAGTTTGTTGTATTGTTTACTGACTGGTCAGAAAGAACCGCTGAATTTAAATCATCATTGTTTAACAGCAATGGTAACACAGTGTCTTTTTCAATTTCTTTTTCTTCTTCATCTGATAATATCATCATCAGTGTTGTGTTTTGTAAAATCATACTACTATCATGATCATGTAAACATGTACATGGTTGTGGTTGTGGTGGCGGGGAATCGATAAATTCTTCTGTTAATTCCACATACAATGTAATTGATCGATCATCATGATTTGTACTGTATGGATATTTTTCATGTCGACTTGGTGCAGATTGGCTGGATGAATCACTTGTTTCACTATTGATTATTACATTATATTTGAATGTATTATTATTATTATTATTGTTTATTGAATATGGTTGATCAGAATTGAAATCAGAATCAGAAATTTCATCATTATTATTATTATTACTGATTAAACGATTAAGTAGTAGTGAATGATAATTGTTATTGTTCATTTTATAAGAACCTTTTTTTAAAAAAAAAGTTAAATAAAGAATTGAATCAAAATCATGATAGCATAATGAATAAAACAAGATTCATGACATGTTTTTTTAAAAACTTAGAATCTATTATTTACGCGCAGTTATAGTGTGGTGTGTTACTACTTATACGAACGATATAAGTAGTAGTATAACAAGGGATGTGAAAGAAGAAGTCTCACGATCAGAAGAGGAAAACGAAAAGCAAGTGGAGCAAAAGCAAGAAGTAAATGGAGTAGTACCAACAGGAAGAAGGAAAGGAAGGAACAACAGGAATGGAAGAAGGATGGAGTGTTGGAAGTCACGACTCAAAAAGATGGTGTGCAAATAGAGTGGTGTTCAATGTAATGTTTTCGTTTTTAATTGACTAAGAGTGTGTAAATTTGCATAATACAATCTTCCGCACTTGCCTCAGTCTTCTCAATACTAAATGTACATTGAGTTTAATGCTGGTCACTTTCAAACTCTTGTATACTAGTAAATGTCAGTTATTATCAACGATGATTGCTTGAATGTTCAATAGCGAAAAACGATGAGCTCAAATCAATAATGTCATACATTTCTAGATGTTATTATTGACATACATTGTCGCCAAATAAAGGGAAATCCATCATTGAAGGCTAAGAGACAGAGAATTGTCTATTTCAAATGCTGTTTGCGAAAACAGATTTCCTAATAGATATTCTTTTCACAATAGGGATTACACTAACAGAATGAATTAGTTGTTACATTTTAAATAGATTAAAAATCTAACAGTCAAGGTCATCATCATTGATAGTTAGTTATCAAGATGATCGAGGAAATTTATAACTCAAGAGAAGAGTTTTGAAGGATTTACGTCCCCACCTGATCAATAATATGATCGTGAAATTTTCAATCAATACCTTCTTACCTCGTTTAAATGACTTTGAAAGATGAAATTCTTCGTTATGCTATGATCAGTTAGTATGGTAATCACTAATCAAGTATTCAGTAGGTCTTTCGATATTTTTTTATAGACGGCAAAGAACTATGAGGTGATGAATATACGTGAATCGATGAAACAGATCAGCAGTTCAGAGATTAACTTTAATGTCGATGGGTGGACAATAAGTTAAACAACAATACAATTCTTATACTATGCGACTTTTTCAAAACTATTCCCCTAAAATAACAAACGATCCCCGTCAGGAAGGCAACAGTTAAACTGTTTTGGAGTCTGTTAGGTTCGTCACTAGGAATGCTTGAAATGATTACGGGTTCACCTTAGTCGACAAACGAGAACGAGACAATGAACCACAGTCCAGGTAGGCTACCCTGATGCGATGACTAACCAAAAGTCTTGATATAGAGCAGAAAGTATATTCTACAAACACTCAGCAAGCACAATGCAATTAAGCACACAACTCTCGTTTATTTATACATCATAGAAACGTCCTTGGGACAGTTAAGAGCACAGCACACTAAAACACACAGCAGCCAATCACAGCCATGGATTTTCCTGGTGAGAATTGAAATCTCAAGGTCAACTGATGAGCCCATGCTTGGATACATGAAATCCAAAATAAGGTATTTATCAAGCGAGTTTTGGGGATCTAACATGCCCAACAGAGTCTTACAGCGTTCTGAACTAATATAGATGTTCAGTAAACATCCACAACCAATATTTTCTAAAGAATTTAGACTAATCATTTTTATAGCCGAAACTATGATTTTTTCAATCCTACTACTCTTCATCGACGATCTTAACTGTGAACTAAGAATAAGACTCTCTATTGTATTCTAAAGTGTAAAATTGATGAGAGTCAGATTAAACTATTGGCTTAGTCTTCCATTATCTTATATGTACTTATTTCCTAAGATTTAAATAACTAGTATGATAGATAGCAGTGACGGCGGAAAAGGCTGCAAGAGAAGGAAACATGAGACAATTGTACGACGCAACAAAGAAGCTCGCTGGAAACTATCGTAAACCAGAACGACCAGTAAAAAGCAAGGAAGGCAAAGTAATCAGCAACACTGAACAACAGCGAAATAGGTGGGTAGAGCACTTTAAGGAACTCTTTCAGCTCCACTGAAAGCAGCATCCACGTACCTCCCACACGATGTTATCCCACCAACAATTGAAGAGATTAGCGTGGCCATCAGACAAATCAAGAACGGCAAAGCAGCAGGACCAGACAACATTCCAACAGAGGCAATGAAAGCAGATGTGCAAACAACTGCAAAAATATTTCACATTCTCTTCAACAAGATTTGCGATGAGGAACAAGTACCATCAGACTGGAAAGAAGGATACCTCATCAAAATACCAATGCATTTCTACAATTGAAAAATATCTGGAACTCCAAACAAATGTCAATCAACACCTAAATCAGGATTTTTAATACAAATGTCAAGATAGTTCTACTGTATGGAGCAGAAACTTGGAAAACTTCCAAAACCATCATCTACAAGATACCGGTATTTATTAACAGTTATCGACGCAAAATACTACAGATTCGTTGGCCAGACACCATCAGCTACAATCTACTGTGGGAGAGAACAAACCAAATTGCAGTGGAGGAATAAATCAGAAAGAAGCGATGGAAGTGGATAGGAAACACACTGAGGAAAGCACCTAATGGCGTCACAAGACAATCCCTCACATGAAACCCTCAAGGTCGAAAGGAAAAGAGGAAGGCCGAGGAACACATTACGTGGAGAAATAGAGAAAGAAATGAGAAGAATGAACAAAAATTGGACAGAACTGGAAAGCGAAGCTCAGGACAGAGTAGGTTGGAGAAAACTGGTCCGCAGCCTATGCTCACTTGGACGCAACAGGCGTAAGTAATTAATAGAAACTCCATCATAAACTTCTTTTGATTGTTCTTTTTGTGAAACAAATCAAGTTGAATCATCTATTTGAATATATCAATTTTAATGATAAGTCTACCATTTTGGATTAGTTAAAGTCAAACAAATTCACAGTTCAATCTATTTCTACTGGCCCCTGCATGTTTACTTAATTTATTTCCAAATTATTTCTACAATTATTCATTGAAATCAATGTTCAATAAATCAAATTGCTATATATATGTAAAATAAAATACCCGCTTTTTTCAATTCTTCATAAAGGTATCCACAAAGATAACGTTTTAATTTCAATGTGATAATTTCATTAGACTTTTTTAAAATTGAAATAGCTTCTAAATTATCTAGACCAATTAAAGATACTTCATTTACCTGTAAATGTAAAAATACAAACAATACAAAGAGTTATAATTAATTTTAAAAAATCTAAGATTATATAACTATGTGAAAGTACTTAATCTTTTGAGAACTGTAATAAAATATCATTTTGATTAAAGTTAGTTGGCTGCTCGTAGCGGAGTTCAGTTTGAGCATTTTTTCCGTGACCAGTGATTTGACTCCATTTTGGTTGAGATATGCTATGAAATAAATCTTCCCCTTCGATTTCTGTACATCAAAATTAGGCGAACCGCGTTTGCCAGTCAACCAGTCAGTCAGTTACAATGTAGAACTTCGTACGTAAATAAATCAGTTCAGATTGGCATACCGCATTAGCAGAGAGACGCTACTGTCACTTCGAATAACATAGTGGTAGAGTTAGTAGAAGTAATAGCAGTAACAGAGAAGAAGATTGTGGTTTGAAGATATGATTCGAGAAGTATAACTGAATGAGATAACTTTAGAAAGAGAAAGATAGAGATAATGAGTAATTCAGAAGGTTAGAATTTCGGAGAACACACAGTGTGGATGCACCTGCGCCATTGCAAACGATTATGAGCCATGTCATTCAAGGTCTCTAACCATTGGTGACTTTCGTCTCACGGATCCCAACAAGGTAGTCTTCATCTAATAACGTGACTAAATTCACTTGTCACTGACTTCATGGATTTGTGCCGTGATTTGGTTTGGCTGCCTCTAAGTTTCTTCCAACCATCGCTCGTCGAGGCAGTCGGTGGTTGTGCATTCGTAACACATGTCCCAACCACCTCAACTGATGAAGTTTCAATACTTCATCTACTGATCTGCCATCCTTACCTAGTACTCGTTTCCTAACAACAACATTGCTTACTCGGCTGTCCCAGGATATACGAGTAATGCTCTAATTGAATACTAATAGCCTACGGATTTCCTCTACTCTTACCGGCCATGTTTCACATACATATAGTAGGACGGAGCAAAGTGATCCACAGTAGAATCTTCCTTTGGTTAGCAGACGGATATCTCGTCGAAGCCATAAGTGACGCAAGTTGGCAAAAGTCAATCGAGCTTTCTGTATCTATGCTAAGATTTCATCACACACCAGGCCATCACATTGATGAGACTTCCAAGATAAGTGAAGCGGTCAACACACTCGACTACTTCACTCCCTATTACTTGTTCAGGTGCCGTTGTAACCCGATCTTGAAGCAACATTTTGCATTTTGAGGGATAAAACAGCATCCTGAACATGTTTGCATTGGTACGGCAATAATCAGAAGCCGTATACGGATTCAACTGGATGAGTTTATTTCAAGCAGTCCTTTACGCTTGCAAATCTGAGAGTACAAAGCCTAAGAGCAAAGCGAAGCTAAGTGTAGGAGGTGAGCGTGCGAGTCAACTCAATACGATATGGCATAACTAAGTAGTTATAGTTAGATAAAGACAGGCTAGACATGTGGTAAGTGGAGTAGACAGGCACACATGCACTCAAATAAAAACAATCAAAATGTAGGCGAATAATTGGCAAGGTTCGAAATTCATGTGATAATGACAGGTTCAAAGGTTGAGACACAAGTTCTGTGGGCTCAACACCTTTCTTTCTCCTAGATTATAGATTTAACAAATCATACATTCTTACCAAACAACAACACTGAAAAATTCATCTTTAATCAAACAAACTGTGGCGCGCGCTACTTATAAGTAGTATATGACGCGAGTGAAAACATAATGTCTGGCAGCAGAAGATGGGGGAACATCAAGAAAGGAAGAAGAGTGGGAACACAATGGAATTTGTATGAAACGCATAAAAATAGTGAAATACCAGACAATGGATTGATGATTGATTGAAGATTTGCAAATTAACCGTTTACGATATGGTTTTCCTATTTTACTGAGTAACTCTGTAATTTTCGTTAAATACATTTCGGTTGCTCTCACCTGTGTTCTCCTTCAGTACAAAACAATTAAATGTTTAGTAGATTTTGCGATCATTTTGATTAACTCTTATTCAATAAATACTTTCATTCATCAGATAACTGAAGTTCATTTCAAAACTATGTTAGCTGATAGTGTTCTCGAAAAATACTTGGTCATTTCGAAATTTTTTCTTGAACAATGGTCTATCAATGTTTTAGAAATAATCCATACTGAACAACGTTTACTTCAAGTTTACTTCAAATGTTTAATTACAAAACGGATGGAAGTAGATTATCGTTTAAATTGAGTATGTCAGTGATTAGTTATTGTTAGGTTCGTCACTAGGTATTCTTGAAACTAATACGGGTTCACCTTAGTCGATAAATGCGAATGAGACAATGAACCAGCGTCCAGGTAGGCTACCTTGATCCCGAAACGGCAAAAGAGAAGTCTTGGCATGGCGTAGAATGTATATTCTACAAACACCCAGCAAACGCAATGCATTCAAGCACACAAATCTCGTTTATTTATATATCATAGAAACATCCTTGGGACAGTCACAAAAATAGCACAATAAAATACTTAGTAGCCAATCACAGCCATGGATTTTCCTGCTGGGAAATGACATCTCAAGGTCAACTGATCAGCCCATGCTGGCAAACGTGAAATCCAAAATAAGGCATTTATCAAGCGAGTTCTGGGGACCTAAAATCCCCAACAATTATGCAGATGAGATATGAAATAAGATTTTGCGTTTCATTCTACAGTGTAGAACCAATGTGTGTCCTATTCATCTCCTGAGCTTTTGCCTGATTTCCTCATCTACTGGAATCTGGTTTGTTCTCTCCTACAGTAGGTTGTTACTGATAATGTCTGTCAAATGGATCCGAAGTATTTTGCCCAGACAACTGTTCATAAATACCTGGATCTTCTGGATGATGGCTTTGGTACTTCTCCAAGTTTCCACTCCGTACAGTAGAACTATCTTGACATTTGTATTGAAAATTGTGACTTTGGTGTTGATTGATTGTTGCTTTCAGTTCAATATGTTGTTCAGTTGTATAAATGCAGCTATTGCTTTGCTGATCCGTGCCTCCTAATCTGTATCGGATCCACCTTCATCGTCGATAATGCTGCCCAGATATGTAAAGGTGTTGATGTCCTCCAAGGCGTCTCCGTCCAAAGTTATTTGGTTGACGCCTGGAGCCCCTCTGAGGCTACTACCGGTCCGAAGTTCAAATGAAGGAGATGGGTTGGACATGGGGTTGGCGGCACCAAACCATAAAAAACTAACTCGCTAAAAAAATCGCTATTGAAAATATATATGATTGATAATATGAAAAGTAGCTCTTAGAAAGAGATAAACATTATTGAAATTTCATTCTCACTTGAATGATTTGATCATTTACTTCAATCAATTTACATTTATCTGATACACTGTTGGGAATGATGCTTCGTACAAAAATTCCTCTGTTATATGCATTTTCTGAAAGATAATATTTATTGAAAAGTTTTATTATTTATCTACTTTAAGTTTTATTAGTAGTATAAAAATTATATAGCTTTTTTTCGTATTAAATAACTATTTCCCATTTATAAATGAACTGAAGGATGAAAAGCAATTAAAAATTAATCATCATAATTTTCGTTAACAGCAGTTATATACGAAAATATTTCTAAAACGTAGGAACGTAATTCTGCTTTATTAAGCTTTAACAATTCTGATGAGATTTATCAAAAGGCCTATTTGTTATGCAAAGTGATCTTAGTAAACCTGTAATGAACGAGAACACATGTAGGGCAACCGAATTGTATTTTACGAAATTACAGAGTTCCTCAGTAAAATAGGAAAACCATATCGTAAATCGTTCATTTGCAAAATATTAGTCCATCATCATATCGAACTGGACTGTTCCTGTTGCAAAACATCAATCCATTGTCACTATTCATGCGTTTCATACAAATTCCATTGTGTTCTAACTCTTCCTTTCTCTTGATCTTCCCCCATCTTCTCTTCTGCCAGACATTACGTTGACACTCACGTCATATACTACTTATAAGTAGCTCACACCACAACCCTACTGTTAATAAACATTACTTGGTTAGTTTATCTTTGAAATTACTTCAATTTTCGAAATATGTCTTGCTACAGATAAATATGCGTAGATATAAATATTAAGAAACATGCTTAAGTGAAATGAAGTACATAGTTACTGTCCATTTTCCTAATGCTTCATGATATGGTGCAACTGTTCTACATTTATTCAAATTTTTTTTTCGAAATTTTCACTAATTTATAGAGGTCACTTTTCGTCGAGTAAACGATCGTTGAAGTGTTTGGCATAACTTTTATGATCTCAGATTGTTGTCATTGTTATCATTTTTGAAAAATAAGTATATATTTGCGATTGTACTCAAACTTTATGAGCGCAATCGATTTTAAACTTTTAAAGACAAAACTTTACCACTGAATTAATCATGTAATAGCTTAAGTGCATTCAAATTCAGGAACTCATTGAGGAGTGCCTTAAATACTACAGCAGGATCTTCACATGATTTAAGAATATTAAAGATTCCCATTGTGAAAATTAGTACGACACAATCGGAATCTTTAAATATTTAAAAATCATGTGAGGATCCTGCTGCAGCATTTAAGGCACTCCTCAATGAGTTCCTGAAGTTTAATACACTTCTCACGCAAGTGAAAATGAGCTTAGAATTTACGATTAATTTCAATAAGATTATGTATAACTGTGGTGCGAGCTACTTATAAGTAGTATATGACGTGAGTGTCAACGTAATGTCTGGCAGCAGAAGATGGGGGAAGATCAACAAGAAAGGAAGAGTGGGAACACAATGGAATTTGTATGAAACACATGAATAGTGACAATGGATTGATGTTTTGCAACAGGAACAGACGAGTTCGATATGATGATGAACTGATATTTTGCAAATGAACGATTTACGATATGGTTTTCCTATTATTTTACTGAGTAACTCTGTAATTTTCATTAAATACAATTCGGTTGCCCTCACCTGTGTTCTCCGTTCACTACATAACCACAAACATTTCATATTCAAATAAAATTTTTATTCAACTTACCATCATATGGATTTTTATAAATATATCCGACTACACTTAAACCTAAACTTTGATTTTTTGATTTAATTAATTGTACTGTGTAAATTTCAATTTCTTCCAGCTTTTCTTGATCATCATTATCATGTTTGCGATAAGTATGAATTGTTGAATTGTTGTGTTGATTTGTATGTTCTGGAATATTTGGATTGAAACAAGATGAAATCGAATGATCAATGTGACAACAATGTTGATCATTTAACGTTGTATTAGAATTGAATTTTGAATTTTTATCAAATTGATGATCTTGATAAAATAGATGTTATGAAACCAAAAACAACAAGTGATTACTTATTTTCTAAAAAAATATATATTTTGTTTTAATCGGACATATAAAAAAAGTGCGGTTGATTTAAAACAACCTGATGTAACGGAGTCAAAATCACTATGTATGATATTGCTAACTTGTTCTGTTTTCTTTCTGTTTCAGGGCGATCAAACACAAATGCTTTGGAAGCTGAAGAGCAAGCCCTGAGTGCTCTAGACCTACAAGATGACTCATAAGACATTGGTACACTACCCCATCCTATTCCTGTAAAAAACCCCGCGTATTTGATTTTGAAATAAAAGAGTGCCGTGACAACAACCTCGTGTTCTCTCTTGGTGTGAGGTATTGAATTAACCTTGTGTGTTGTGATTTTAGATTCTCTCTGCCCTTCATTGACTGCTGATTACGCGTGTTACACTGATAGATTTACATTTGTACATTTTGAATAATCTTGTTATATATATATATATATATATATATATATATATATATATATATTGACTGCTGGTCAAAGCAGTTTATGCAAAAATTGAAATCATAGATTTAATAGACAAAAAAAATAACATCATGGTGGTCATTTGTTATCATTGTAGAGTTATGTAACTTGTTGATTTTCATTCTAATGATGAATGGATCATCATTAGAACAATATTAGAAACCTGAGAGTACTAGATGGAAGTTTCATTCTAGTGTGGGACTCATCAGTAGTATACATCCACTGTCCTCACACGTGTGAATCCTATCGAATACATTCGGTCTCGAGTGTGACCCCTTAACATTTAGATCACTGAGTCGGCATCCAACAGTGTTAATGTCTAACTTTTATCAATCCAAGGTATTGCGCAATAATACTGTTGGATGGTGGCTAAGCAGTCTAGAGGTAAAGTGTTTGTTTACGAGACTGAAGGTACAGGTAAGTCGTGGGTTCGTACTTCTGATGTATCCCACACTAGGAGGAGACAGTCAGTCATCCAGTGCTTTTAGGTTTCCAATGGTGATCTAACAGTGGCTGATCGATTGATTATTTCAAAGATTGATTATTCATTTATTTCATCCATCTTTTGTTCAATGGGATCAATGGTTTTAAAAATGAAGACTTTTATTGTGATTATTGTAATAAAGAAATAAAAATGGAGGATAATTTGTTGGATGACGTTTTCCATTAGCTACTCAGGATGTGTGCTCCAGGTGTGCGATTCGTGTATATTTATATGAACAAAGTGAACGAAACTATGCCTTACTCTAAAGTTACATTGCTTCATTGGAAGGAGTTCAGGGATTTCAGCTGACAAAAATCTGGATTACGAGGTTAATCTGGAAAATATAATATTTTTTTGCCCTTTATATCAAACAATCTGGTCAGATCAACTTAGTCTTCTTATTCTTTGATAAAAATTTATGCAAGAAACTAATTTCATTACATTTCTATTACATTTTCTTTTGATATTGTTGATCTAATTGTTTCGAGTACTCGCTCTTTGATGACGAGCAGCCAGCGAGTGAGAAACCTGAGTTGGCGAAAGTGTCTTCGTCGGTGGGCAAGGCTGGTGCCGGTGTAGTTGTAACCAATATTTATTTCCTCAATTGATTTTGACTTAGAATATGAAGTGAACAGAAATATCTATTACCTTCATTCATCACAAAACTTCTTCCTTACAATTTAAATTTCTATTACAGATGATAGACCAACAGAAGTTGTTGCCATAAAGAAAGTTTTTAACGAACTTGTGTCATCTTCATGTTGGGTACATATAATTTGTCACATCATGAAAAGGGGAATCTAACTGAATATAAGACCTTCAGTTTTAATTAAAATTATTGTAATGGAGTTTCGTTCTCTGAGCTGGATGTTCTCGTTGTGAGGAGCTTTCATTGTTGTTCTACTGAACAACATCAGGTAGAAAAGAGAAGTTTGTGCTGATGATGATGGTGTTCAGAAGAACAGTGAAAGCTCCTCGCAACTGAAACGTCTAGCTCAGAAAATGCAACTTCATCAGAATCATCCGCCTGAGCTACAAACTTTCTCCATCATCAAATAAAATTTCAAAGAATGTGATCGGAGATTTTTCAGTTTTGTTCTTACATTTGATGTTTACAACAAAACATGTGGACAGATAAAAAGAATTTTTGTTAAATCTAAACTAATATCCATCGTCCTTTATGAAAATTTCCTTATCAATGATTACACAGTAACAAATGTGTTGTTTCACAGTACAGTACAGTACTCAAAAGACGATAAAGAGTGCTTCGAATTCGTTCGGTTACCTATTCTAGTGCTAAAATTTCTTTATTCTACTATTACTTACTATTACGCCTACTATTACGTCTTTTACCCCAAATGGAGCATAGGCCGCCCACTAGTTTTCTTCAGCTAACTCTGTCCTCGACTTTGCTTTCGAGTTCTGTCCAATTTCTGTTCACTCTTCTCATATCTTTCTCTATTTCTCGGGGTAATGTGTTCCTTGGCTTTCCTCTTTTCCTTTTGCCTTGAGGGTTCCATTTGAGGGCTTGTCTTGAGACGCGGTTGGGTGCTTTTCGCAGTGTGTGTCCTATCCACTTCCACTGCTTCTTCCTGATTTCCTTCTCCACTGGAATCTGGTTTGTTCTCTCCCACAGTAGGTTGTTGCTGATAGTGTATGGCCAACGAATACGAAGTATTTTGCGTAGACAACTGTTAATAAACACTTGTATCTTCTGGATGATGGCTTTCGTAGTTCTCCATGTTTCCGCTACATACAGTAGAACTGTCTTGACATTTGTATTGAAAATTCTGATTTTGGTTTTGGTTGAAAGTTGTTTGGAGTTCCAAATATTTTTCATTTGTAAAAATGCAACCCTTGCTTTGCCGATCCGCGACCTCACATCTGCATCGGGTCCACCTTTTTCGTCGATGATGCTGCCCAGATACGTTAAGGTGTTAACGCCCTCCAGGGCATTTCCATCAAGTGTGATTTAGTTGGTGCATGTTGTGTTGCATCAGAGAATTTCCCTTTTTCCTTTATGTTTGTTGAGATCTGCTGCTGCAGAGGCTACTATACAATAAAAAATCATTAACTTCTATATTATGACGAATTTATCGATTACTTGTATTGTTTATTGCTTCTGCAAATTGAGTGCGGTCAACTAAACAGTTAACAATATCTAAGGTAAAAAGTACATTGCCGCTGATTTAGTAAACAGTAGTTAGGTATGGACTTTGAACATAGACAACAAAGACCTCTGAGTAAATTTATTTATTAATAATAAAATATACAATTGGAAAGGATCATACTAATGACACCAATTTCATCTTTGTATTTTAAATGTTATGTAAGAATTGCCAAGGACGAATTCTTCGGTTTATAGAGGTCATTAGCTTTTAGGAAATTTGAGTCCAGCTTATGTGTACAGTTACAATTTATCTGTTACGTTCGTCACTTGGTACTCTTTAAGCTATTACGAGTTCACCTTAGTCGATAAACGCGAACGAGACAATTACGAGCATCCAGGTAGGTTACCTTGAATCCCAAACTACAAAACAGAAGCCTTGATAAACGTAGAAAGTATATTCTACAAACACCCAGTAATCACAATGCAATGAAGCACACAACTCTCGTTTATTTATACATCATACAAACGTCCTTGGGACAGTCACAAAAATAGCCCACTAAAATATACAGCAGCCAATCACAGCCATGGATTTTCCTGGTGGGAAATGAAATCTCAAAGTCAACTGATCAGCCCATGCTTGCGAACGTGAAATCCAAAATAAGGAACTCATCAAGCGAGTTCTCGGGATCTAACATCCCCAACATTATCATAATTTTAGGTCTACTCACATATGTTCTAAGCCATTTTACAGCCTAGAATAATTATGTGACAACTTTCCATTTCAGTCTGATCAAGTGTACTTTCGGTTTTGTTTGTATGATGTCAGTTTCGATTGATTTTTGAACTCGGAAGTTGGATGCACTTGCATCCGAGAATTGACATTCACTCTAGGACTCGAACCTAGTGTCGTATACTTCAACCCTCATCGCGTTATTTACTCAGCTATTGAATCCAGAGCTCAATGGCTCGTCCGATGAGTGGAATATAGTACACTGAAATAGGACAAAACGTTTGTTCTAAATGACAGTTCTAGAGTATCATCCATCTTTGCATGAAATGCTAATGATTTAATGGAGTTATCGAAGTAATACATACAGAATACTCAAATAACACAAGAGATTGACCAGTTACAGTGGTAAACATCAATGGAAAATACATTTTACACATTTGAAATCATCAATCAATCATTGTTAGACCACTATTAGAAACCTGGAAGCACTGGATGGCCGTTTCGTCCTGGTCTGGAACTCATCAGCACGAAACGGCTGTCCAGTGCTTCAAGGTCTCTAATGGTGGTCTAACAATGACTGATTGATGGTTTCAAATGTATGAAAACACAAACCTCCAAAACTCTGCCCGAAAATATCGTAACAGTGCTCACTAGTGACTAGATTCGTGAGGGAATTCTCGGGGTTCTAGTTGAGAAGACGTGACCGATGGAGTTTAACCCTGTCGGGCGTAGGCAGTAACTACTGAAGACAAATAGGAGAGGTCCCGCAAAATCCGTAGATCAATCAGAGTTAGACATTAACACCGTTGGATGCTGGCGCAGTGGTCCGATGGTTAGGCGTTCGTGCACAATACCGAAGCTTCCGGGTTCGAATCCTGCGAGGTGTAGGAGTCGTGGGTGCGCACTGCCACTGATGAGTCCCATACCAGGACGAAACGGCCGTCCAGTGTTTGCAGGTTTCTAATGATGGCCTAACAATGATTGGTTGATGATTTCAAATGTGTGAAAACACAAACCTCCAAGACTCTACCCGAAAATACGTTTTAAGCTCAAAATTGACTGTTAATGCCCGAAGAATCAGACACTATGTTTCATCGATATAAACATGATCAGTTATTACCGAAGAACCACAAATGGTATATAGTAGATTCCGACCAGCTGCCGAAGTTTTGAAAAATAACAGCAGTTTCTTTCTTAAAATTCCACTGAATGATAAGAAGCTATTTCGTAATTAGATCAACAATCTTAATTGTGCTTCTGAGGATTGGATACTGGATGGAAGCACGCGTTCAAAAATATATATCAAATGTAGCAACATAACGATAGTTGGATGTAAACATCAATTTCATCATCTTCCAGATAAACTGAAACCTACTGTATGTCAATTATCGGAAGATCTACTGTCTACTGGTTACAGAGGTCATTATATCAATCAACACAATCACAACAAATCACCAGACTGTAATAACCAATATGAAATTGGTTATACTGGAACCAAAATCACTTGACCATCACATAAAGAACATTACTTTGAGCACGTAGTATCATGAGAGATAGAGCTAAGTCCCACTTCGTAAATAATACATAATAAGTATATATTTAAACTTACCATCTAAGTGATCATTTCTAATTATTTTATTTGGTAGATTAGTACGTGATTGTTCCACATCAGATTCTGATGAATTTGCTGAACTTGTTACAACTTGAAGTGTTGAACATGGTTCAATTTCTCGAGAATTCTGTAAGTGAATTCATAAAAATTCATAGAAAATTAATTGTAACTGTTGTCGAGGGAAAAAAATCGATCAGTTAGCAAATAAGTTAATTAGTCGATCGCTTGTCTAGAGAAATATGAGTTAATATTAAGTTTGAACTAGTAGCCATTCACTTTTAGGGCGTATAAATGACATTTAGTATGTATACAGTCACAGGCTAAATATTCTCTGTTCTTGAGATAGTGGAGAAGATTTGTAGCTCAGTTGGATGATTGTGGTGGTGGTGATGGTGTTTGGTTCTCTGAGCTGGATGTTTCGGTTGTGGAGCTTTCATTGTTCTTCATCTGAACAACCTTACCAGCACAAACTTCAGATAGACGTGAAGCACAACAAGCTACAGGTCAAACGTGGAGAAATTCGAATGCTTCACTTCTTCTATCTGAAGTTTGTGCTGATGATGTTGTTCAGAAGAAGCACAATGAAAGCTACTCACAACCAAAACATCATCCAGCTCAGAGAACCAAACACCACCACCACCACCACAATTCTCTGTTCTTAATTGAATTGATTAGTTGAGATAAAAAAACAAGATCATATCTTCGTGCAATTTCTGCTCAATATCGCTCACATATACTAATTACTTATGATCATATTTGTTTATGATACGTGTTATCTATCAATAATGTACTACTATTGATATAGCGAGCCAATCAGGGGTGATCGAATGAGAAGGTCATTTGATGATCATCAGAAAATCTGCTGAAGGACGAATGCATATCATTGGTCAAGAAAGTATTCATTATCTAATGTGGAATATAAATATAATTTCTATATATTTTTTTGGGTAATCAACAAATAGACTGTCTTTTCTACTCACACCTTCTTACTCAAGTAGTCAGTTTCGGAGAAAAGGGTTAGCATCGATTGCGATCAGATCAGACTGACATTACATATCATAATAATAATAATCTGATACAGTATTAGTTTTGATTGGATGTCTGTTATGCTCGTCACTTGATATGCTTGAAATAATTACGAGTTCACCTTAGTCGATAAACGAGAACGAGACAATGACTCACTGACACGGTAGGCTACACTGATCCGTTGTACCAACTAACTGAAGAAAAAGTCTTGATATGGCGTAGAAAAGTGTATTTTACAGCCACCCAGAAAATACGAGGTTGACAAGCACACAAATTGAGTTCATTTATACATCATGGAAACATCCATGGGAAAGCCACAAAAATAGCATACTAAAATAACACATCAACCAATCACAGCCAAGGATTTTCCTGATAGGAAATGTAATCTGAAGGTCAACTGATCAGCCCATGAATAAAATCCAAAATTAAGACCTTTAACAAGTGATTTCTGAGGATCTAACGTTGGCATGCTTTAAAAATGAGTATAAATCTTCATTTGTATCTATTTTCATGTTCTCAATTCAGTCGTAGAAAATGGCATTACGTAATAGTAATTTCTTGCGATTACAACATTCATCAATCAAGCTTGGAGAGATAATATATGCTAAAATAAATCTAAGGCTATAAGAATTGAGATCATGGAGAAAATTTGTAGCTCAGGTGGATTATTGTGGTGGTGTTTCGTTCTCTGAGCACAACCAAAACAACCAGCTCAGAGAACGAAACACCGTTAATAAGAACTGGTGAAAATCCTATAATCTTACAATAATATAAGTGAGGAGATAAGACAGAATCGGGTAAAAAATCGGGTAGAAAACTAAAACAAAAGACGATTAGTGTTTGAGTGATTTATAAAATCAGTGCAATTCATTCAGTTAAATACACCATGATTTCACGATCTAGTTAAGTTTTCACACATGAAACTATCCGTTCTCTAAAATTTAATTGTTTATACTTCTTCATACCATGAAAAATCTAAAATGCTTAGTTCGAACGTTGGAATATTTAAACATGTGGTTTTCAGATAAGAATTTAAAATACAGTTTTAAATTCATATTATATGCAACAAACGTTGCTTTTTCAGTTAAAAATATTACTGACAAACTGATTTAAGTATGTTAAGATATTCATCCAATGTCCTAAGAGAATTATTGGTCAATTCCTATTGGTCAATTTTATGGTCGTCCTAGATATCAATGTCACATACTCCAATGTTGTTTCTTATTGGTTGTCCTGACTATCAATGTCACTCCAAAAGTATTTTCTTATTGGTCGACTTAACTGTCAATGTCACAGACTTCGATGCCGTTTATTTCTCGACCTAAATGTATAAATACGCACTATCTGTAACGTTTTAAGACCCGGATCCCTAGTCGGGCATCCTGATTCTCTTCTGGACTTGGACCTCGATCTTTCTGGATGATTGTAGAACACATGTTCTACTTCATATAAAGTCTTCTTCTTTTATTAAATGGGGGTTAGGGACGCTCAGATTAGAGTAGCATGTCATTTCGCCGGATCCTCAATGCTAGCTCTCATTTTCCGACTAAGGGGTAAACTAGTCATAGTTCAATCAAATCAAAATAACATATTTACGTACATGTGTAACAAAGTAGTAATGAACTTATCTGTAATATTTGTAATATGTTGTTATCATTATTATTATTATTACTATAACTTACATCTAAATCAGATTGTTCATGTTGTTGCAATGATATTGTAGAAGTATCATTGATTTTATTCATTTCTATACATTCTACTTCAATATCATTATTGATTGTTTTCATTGTAGCAAAGTAATCCACATCATTTGATTTTACTTGTTTTAAATTATCAACATGATTTTCAATGTTCAATAAATCTGTTTTATGTAAACTGTACAAATCAACTAGTGGAAGTTTGTTTTGCAATAGTAAATCAATATATTGATCTAATTGATGGGTTGGTATAATTCTACAAAGTAATAAATAGAATATGGATGAGATATGAGTAGTGAGAATGATATTTTCAAGAAACAGACAAGCACTTATCTATCTATCTATCTATTTATCTATCAAAATGAACTAAAATGAACACAGGAAAACTAGGAACTCAAGTATTTCGGAAGTCAACCGACACAGACATAATTCTCAACTATGAAAGCAACAACCTAAGAACCCACAAGATCAACTGCATACAAACTTTGTTCAAGAGAGCGAAGACACTGCAGCACATACGAAGCATTAAAAAAACGAGGAAAAACACCTGATGACTATCTTCCAAAAGAACGGCTATCCATGCAACTTCATCAAAAAACATCAACCGAAACCATCATCAGAAGCGAAATCAAGCACAGAAACAAATAAACGCATCATCCTACCATACATCAAAGACATATGGGAGCATACAGCACGACTACTAAAACCATTTGGAATAGGTGTGGCACAGAAACCAAAAGGATAACTTCAATCAATCCTATGTTGTAGACCAAAGGACAAATTGACAAAGAATTTTAAAGATTCCCATTGTGAAAATTAGAACAACACATATAAGCGAACAATATTGTTTTCGATTAGATAGTCATCAGGCTGCTTTACTCTAACATACATGAATATTTATATGAAAATGTTAAACCAATCAAGGCAATTTGAGTGATAATCACAATGAAATCAAAAAAGATTACGTAACTACATCTAATAGGCAAAAGTTCAAGTGGATAATAGGAAAACAGGTGTACTGATAGTAGTAAGAAAATTTATAAAATATGATAACTAAAGTAGGTCAAGGGTGGATCAATAGAATTCAAATAATCATCAAAAACATCAAAAACATTACGTAATAAGCAAGTGTGTAAAAATAAAATAAAATAAAAAATCAAAAATAATAAAAATATGTCAATCATTAGTTACGTCATATCCGGCCACGGAAGAGATAGGGGTGTCACGAATTTCTTCTGAACACATAAATTAGGGTTGAATGTACGTATTCCTAAGGCTTCTGCAATGTGTAGGAGACGGGATCGAACTCCGTTGGGAAATGATGGAGGTATACGATAGATCACCCGAAAAGATCTAGATTTATCTACAATGTGACCACTATCTACCAGGTGTGCTAAGATAGAACTGAGTATTGTTTTTGACTGACCCTTCGTAAAGCATGCTGGGAGATGTTCACTCATTCGTTGGTTAAGTTGCCTGGAAGTACGCCCGATATAGCTATCTCCACAGGGGCAGCTGAATTTGTAAATGCACATAGAGGAGGCCAGCTCAGGTAACTTATCCTTCGTTTGAGTAGACATCGCAGGTCGACTGGAGAAAGTCAATGCAAGTTTTGCAGCGTTGAATGTTCTATTAATTACTCTTCTTAATCTGTCCTGCAGAGTATCGCAGGCCACATCTCCGTTGAATTGTAGCTTCATGAACAAAGGCTTCTTTCGGGCGGTCGAAACCACCGACTTCTTTTTTACGGCAAACATATACTTCTTTATGAATGCGCTTGGATAACCAATCTCGGTTAGTCAGCTGTTGATGAATTCCAGCTCCTGACTTAAAATATCCATTGAACATATCATATTTCCTCTGTAAGTGAGACATCTAACCAAATTTCTTTTGTAGCGAATGGGTGTAAAACTACAAAAGTGAGTGTATTGGCAAGCACTGGGATTTTTTCGATACACGCTTCTACTTAGTGAACCATCATTTCGCCTACTTAGTGTGATGTGAAGAAAAACCAAATATCATCTACAAAATAAATTGCTCAAACTGTGAAAAACACTACACATAGGACAAAGTGGATGGCCTCTTCAGCTTCGTTTACATGAACATCAATTAGCAGTCAAACGCCACGAAAATGCTTCGTTTATATCTATACATACCGACAATTATGGACACACATTTGATTGGAACAACGTGGAAATACTGGGTAGGGTGAGGACAAAGAACACTAGAGAATCTTTAGAAGCTTGGCACTCAGGTCAATCAGCAATCAACAAACACTTCGACATTGACCCAATAATTTATCAACCAATCAGAAAAATCATTGGTGACACAGGATCAAGAAACAGATCAAAAGGGGGGATACAATCAAAACAAAGTTGCAAACAACGACAGATTTAAGCTCAACAGCAACAAATCAAGTACGAGGTTGACAGAACAAGCTACAGATCGAACGTGGGGAAATTCGAATACTTCACTTCACTACTTGAAGTTTGTGCTGATGATGTTGTTCAGATGAGGAACAATGAAAGCTCCACAACCGAGACATCCAGCTCAGAGAATGAAACACCACCACAATCATCCACCTGAGGTACAAGTTTTCTCCACCATCTCAAAATGAATACACTTTGTAAATTTCAAGTTAATTCTCATCATGATATAAGATGAAGTATTGTGAATAAATGAAAAAAATTCAATAGCGTTAGATAAGTGTTTCGTTCAAGTTTAAAAATTTCTTTTCATCAACAATGAGAAGGAATAGATGTAGACAAAAAAAAGTCAAATTAATAATAAGCACGATATATTCAGGCCAATGAATCAATATTCAATTGTTTATATGTTAACATTTGTTTGAATTTATGTAACAGCGCAATTTTCGATGTATGCGTTACAACACTCTGTACATTGTTCAATTCATACATAAATCATGATTGCCAATCGATAAAAAAAATAGTACATTTAGAAATAATTCAAGCAATTAGTTGATAATAATTATATATGCTTAGTTAAGTTAGTTTTGGTGAAAATGTTTTTTTTTTTTAAAAAAAATCCGAAAGTAATTATTGAACATAGACATGATTAACAGAAGTATACAACTTGCAGTTACCTGGAGTTGTACAATTAAAGGAATATTCACAATTGGCGATAAAGAGCTCACCATTCTGATGGGGGGATTAACGCTGAAGCCGATATGGATGACACTGGACGTGTTAGGATATTCATCAACTATCCTAGGAGAATTATTTTTTGTAAGTCGAATTCTATTGGTCAATTCCTACTGGTCAATATATTATGGTCGTCCTAACACTATCAATGTCACAGACTTCGATGTTGTTTCCTATTCAACCTGACTGTTTAAATACGCATCATCTGTAATGTTTTATGACCCGGACATGCTGCGGATATGTATGCGCACTACTGATGAGTCCCATACCAGGATGAAATGGCCATCTTTCAGTGCTTCCAGGTTTCTAATAGTGGTATAACTTCGATCGATTCAAAACTTCAAATTTTTAATATTCGTCTAAACTATTGTACTCAGAAAGTTTTCTCAAATCTAGCTCACTCCCCATTATCCGCAAACGGTAAATCAGTGATTGATACAAACAAGAAGTCAAATATATAAATGAAATACTTTGATCAATAAAGGCTTGTATGATGTTTGCAATGTGCAAAGCTCTCAGATGAAGGAAAGCTTTCTGTCAATGCCTCTTTTGTTTTCCTATAAACAGCTCTCAGCTTGTAGCAGATAATTAATAGCTCATACAGTCAATAAAACTATTTGAAATCATCAACCAATCATTGTTAGAACACAATTATTAGAAACCTGCAAACACAGGACGGCCGTCTCGTCCTGGTATTGAGACTCATCAGTGGCAGTGTGCATCCACAAATCCTGCACCTCTCAGGATTCGAACTCGAGACCTTCGATATTGTGCACGAACGCCTAACCATTGGACCAATCGGATGGCATCCAGTGGTGTTGATGTCTAACTCTGATTGATCTAGGGATTTTGCGCGACCTCACCCATTTGTCTTTGGTAGTTACTGCCTACACCCGACAGGGTTGAACTCCATTGGTTCGTTGGATGCCGGCCCAGTGGTCCGATGGTTAGGCGTTCGGGCACAATACCGAGGGTCCTGCGTTCGAATCCTGAGAGGTGCAGGATTTGTGGATGCACACTGCCACTGATGAGTCCCATACCAGGAAGAAACGGCCCTCAAAACAGTGCTTCCAGGTTTCTTCTAATGGTGGTCTAACAATGATTGATTGATGATTTCAAATGTGTAAAAACAAACACAAACCTGCAAAACTCTGCCCGAAAATAAAAATATTCCGTGTAATTAGTGATTAGTACAACGATAGTTATTAATAGTTTTACAAGATATGATTTGATGTCAAGCTCAAACTTATCTGACATAATTTAACCCAATCTAAATCAAATAAGCCTCTTTGCTATCCTGTAACTGATACTAAATTAAATTTTATTTAATATTCGTTTCGTCCTGGTTTGGGGCTCATGGATGAGGTCGTGCGCAATCCCTAAATTGATCTGAGTTAGACACTAACACCATCGGATGCCGGCCCAGTGGTCCATAGGTTAGACGGTCGTTCTCTCCTGAAATGGAACTAACCAGCAGTGTTGTAATACTAATCTTCATAACTTTAATTGAAAATATCGTAAAATGTGCTCACTAGTGACTAGCTTCTTGAGGAAATTCTCGGAGTTCTAGTCGAGAAGACGTGACCAGTAGAGTTCAATCCTGTAGGATGTAGGCAGTAACTACCGAAGACAAATGGGTGAGGTCGCGCAAAATTATTAGATTGATCAGAGTTAGACATTAACACCGTTCGATGCCGACCCAGTGGTTCGATGGTTAGGCGTTGGCGCAGAATACCGAAGGTCTAGGGTTCGAATCCTGTGAGGTGTAGGAGTTGTGAATGTGCACTGCCACTGATGAGTCCCATACCAGGAATTGAAGACCGTCCAGGGTTTGCAGGTTTCTAATGGTGATCTAACAGTGATTGGATGGTGATTTCAAATGTGTAAAAACACCAATAAATGTTCAGATCAATCAATAAATTTGAATGAATGGAAGGAATAGCTCATCTAATTTGTGCTTAGATTCACTAGATCAATAAGTTGATTTACTTAACTGAGAAATATAATTTTTATCAATGAATGATATAATTTTGTTCCCAGTATGTAAGAATTCACAGGAAAACAAATGTGAGGTATTTGTATTTCATAAAATGTCTATCTATTCCTGACCCTGTTTGTTTTCTAAATGTAACTAGTTCAAAGTAAAAATGACAGATCCACGGGTGAAGAGTGACATTCCCTATTAGCTTAATTTTTAAAAAATGTAAACTTTTCACATATTTCTAAACATTAAATTGATATTACTAACATCATGAATGAATCAGTGTTAGACTACCATTAGAGACCTAGAAACACTGGTCAACCGTTTCGTCCTTGTATGAGACTCATCAACAGTGCGTATCCACAAGTCCTGCTACTAGCGAGATTCGAACCCGGGACCTGCGGCCTTGCGTGCCAACGACTAACCTCCTGCCCACTGGACCGATATCCAACGGTATTTATTTTTAACTCTGATCAATCTAGGGATTTTATGCAACCTCACCCATTTGTCTTCGGTAGTTACTGTCTACAGCTGACAGGGTTGAGTTTCATTGGGGTCACTGAATTGATGATTTGTGTATTATATCAGGAAGTTATAAAAAGTTAAATAATGTACCATTTTGATTGCAGTGAATTCTTTTTTACAATTCAATGATCAAAACACGTAGAGGCCAGTATAGAATAATATTACTCAGTTAAAAACTCCATCAAAAATTTAGCGAATTTCAAAAGAATTACACTTAAGTATTCATGAAAAGAAAATATTAGATTTTAATCCTTAATTGTACTGGTTTTTACTTTGTACCCCCCCATGGAGCCTAGGCCACCGACTAGCATTCCTCAACCTACTCTGTCCTGAGACTAATGAAATTCATAACTGGAAAACTAATAAGTCTCTCCTGTCATAAGTGATTGTATCAACCAACGTTGTCTGTCTCTAAAAGTGAATAGAGATTTTTGAAAAATGACCAAAAATTAGAATTCAGGAAGTAATCTATACTAGATTTGAGTTTTCAAGTAGACATCAGCAAAACGATGTAGGTATATCGTACCTCCACATAAACTTGAGTTCGCTCATATTTAATTTGATTACGCCTTTCGATTAACTTATGTAACCAAGCTATTTGTATAGCAACAACCCATATGTACCATTGGTATCTTTTATTGTCTGGTTTGTACGAGCTTGTACGACTGAGCATTGCTTACGCCTACGCGCTGACTCATCCTTTTCGCTTTGATGTTAATCTCTTAATACCCCTATGAACTCACATAATTTGTATCGCTTGCTTTTCACCTCGTCAGTTATTCGTCGCTTTTATTCATGTGTGTGCATGTCTATTTCGCTTGTCATATGTCTGTCTTATTTTTATCTGACTATATATTCTTAGTCATGCTCTCTATCTCTTGGAGTTGACTCAACAGCCTTCTCCAGTTCACGTCGCTTCATTCGTTTATTCACTGCTTCTCCGCTTCGCTTTGTAGTGTGTCACAAATAAACGTATTCATCACTACGAGTTCACCTTCTGATTTATAAACCGTCAGACGCTATTTGGCAACGACTGTCTGAACGAGTTAATTACCGAGCTTAAGAACACGCAGTAAATCGACACACTACAAATGGTGAGCCCCACGTGATCACAATCGACACACCACAGGTACATTCAAATGATAGATTCAAATTTTGGATGTAATCCACTCTGTGAATTCCATCTTCAAGGAACTCTACAGAATACAATCAGTTTAACTTCTTGAGGTAAATAATTACTATTTTTTACACATTTGAAATCATCAATCAATCATTGTTAGACCAACATTAGAAGAAACTTGGAAGTACTGTTTTGAGGGCCGTTTCGTCCTGTCATGGGACTCATCAGTGGCAGTGCTCATCCACCACTCCTGCACCTCCTCGCAAGATTCGAACCCTGGACCTTCGGTATTGGTCCACCAGGGTATCAGGTATCTGTGTATTGGTTGCACCACACGGTTGAGCCGAATTGTTCATATAGTAATTAATGATAAAACGTGTCCAGTCTCTTTGGTGTTCTCCTCAAAAATCACCAATGTAAAAATTGCCCTTGACCAATATACAGGATAAATTTATATAATTGTGAATAGATAGAATTGGTTATTATTATTATTATTTTTCTCAAATCTTACGCTAACATTCCAAGTACACCATGTTGATGACAAATAGTTTGTTGTTTTAAACTAATCTCATTCAATTCAGCAGGATCACCATTAGCAGGACGAGCTACAATGAGACGTATTAAAATAGTTGGATTATTGATAAGTTGTTTATTGCTGTCATGAGTTTCACCAGAGTTCGCTGGATTTGAATCATATTGACTAGGTGACAAACTACTTTTTTCTAATGGTTTATCAGTAGTATTATTTAAAGTGGATGTATTTTTATGTGTTGTTGATGTCGGCATTCGTATCACTGAAGTATGGTAGTCAATGGTAGTTTTTGGGATTGCATCACCTGTCGGCATTGAATCTTGTGTTAATAAACTATCAGATAGACAATTGGATATAGTTTGACGTAGTACAGTAGCTACTTGATCTGGTCCATAACTTCGAACATTATAATCACGAATACAAATTATATGATCACCAAGTCGAAGACGACCATCCTGAAGGTGATAAAAGAAAAGAGATTGAAATAAAATTAATCAATATGCACGGCGATTCATATCACGTGACTTATTGAGAATTCAATACGAATCAAGGTTTTATTTCCATACATATCACTTGTTTGGATTTGCTCATTAGTGGCGTTAGGATTGTGATTACTCAGGCTCTTTTGGTAGATATACATCCTTTACGGAATGTTTCGATCTAACCATTAATCCATAAGTATTCTAAGCAGATAATTACTATCAATGAAATCAGTAGATGATATGCTCGTCAATTGATATGCTTACTTGGTAAACGGAGCGAAGAGCTATTCTGATTCGATTGTCCCTGGCCCGGCTAACTATATCTAGTAATCTTGATAAGGCATAGAGAATGTATTCTACAAGCACTCAAAAAATTCGAGGTAGTTAAGCACACAAATCAAGTTTATTTATACAATGATAGCAACGTCCTTAAGAGAGCCACAAAATAGCGTACTAAAAAAAATTCATCAGTCAATCAGTCAATCAAGGAATTCAGAGTGGGAAATGTAAGCTCAAGGTCAAATGAGCAACTTATGCGCGAAAACACCTTTTTCAAATGAGTTCTGGGGATCTAAAGTCCCCCAAGAGTGGCTAAATGTATAACGCAGTGGTGAGTGAAGTAAAACAGTACTGGGTTCAAGTTTTGTGGGTGAACATCAACTCTGGAATACTGATATATCCAGAAGACTAGTTCGAAATAACATGCAACGCATATCTTAGATTCCTTTGCTAGCCATCATCTATTCCTGCTTCTTAGAAAAGTTTGTATTGCTTCTGTTGGGGATGTTAGATCCCCGAAATTCGCTTGATAATGCCGTATTTCGGTTTTCACGTTCGCCAGCAGGGGCTGATCAAATGACCTTGAGATTTCAATTCCCACCAGGAAAATCAATGGCTGTGATTGGCTACAGTGTATTTTAGTATGCTATTTTCTTAACTGTCTCAAGGACGTTGTTATGTTGTATAAATAAACGAGAGTTGTATGCTTGATTGTACTGGGATTGCTGGGTGCTTGTAGAATATACTTCTACGCCTACAAAGTCTTCTATTTCGATTCTGGGTATTCAGGGTAGCCTTCCTGGAAGCTGGTAAAAGTCTCGTTCGCGTTTATCGACTAAGGTAAACTCGTAATAGCCTCAAGCATCCTAAGTGACGAACTTATCAGTGGCGACGGGGCTCACAATTCACAATGTCAATTAATCTTGAACAGTTAGAATCTTTACTGGAACGTCAAGGTAAACGATATGAACAGTTCCAGGAACGTATGTTGGAGCTGTTAATCAAACAAATGAATTTGAATCACAGAGGTTTTGCCGATGATTCATATAATCCGCATACAGACTCGATAGTTAATTCCATTCATGAATTTCATTTTGATGGCCTTGCTGGTGTGACTTTCGAGTCTTGGTTTAAGAAGTATGAGGATTTGTTCAAGGTCGACCTCAACAATCTTGATGACGCCACCAAAGTCAGAATCCTTTTGAGAAAGCTCGGCACAATCGAACACGAACGTTATAGTAATTTCATCCTCCCAAAGAACCCACGAGATTTCTCTTTTGATGCTACAATTGATACGCTGTCGCAAATCTTCTCTGAACAGTCATCTCTCTTTAATATTCGTTATCAATGCCTCAAAATAATCAAATCAAATGAAGATGACTGGGTAAAGCATGCTGGCTTAGTAAATCGTGAATGCGAACGATTTAAATTATCATCAATGACGGAAGATCAGTTTAAGTGCCTTGTGTTTGTGTGCAGCTTACAATCTCCCGACGATGCTGATATAAGAACCAGAATCCTAAGTAAAATTGAACAGTGCCCAAACATCTCGCTTCAAGAAATAACTGCAGAGTGCCAGAGATTAGTAAACTTGAAGCATGATACCTCCATGGTCGAAAACAAGGGCCTCTCATCATACGTGCATTCCATTAGTGAAAAGAAAAATTCCAATTCGGCCCAAAAACCCAAAATGAATCCACCTTCTGCTTGCTGGCACTGCGGTTCATGGCACTATGTACGGAACTGCCCATTTAGGCAGCATAGATGCAGGAAGTGTAAAGTCATCGGTCATAAAGATGGCTTTTGCCTACAGAAAAAGCCAAAGCGATCCAGAAGTGCTAAGAAGCCTGTTCCTAGATCCAGTACCAATGCATTGAGCCTAATATCTTCCTGCCAAAGCTCATCACCAGGTGAGAGGAAATTTATTACTCTTAATATTAACGGTTATTTGTGTAGAATGCAAATAGATACTACATCTGATGTCACTATCCTCTCACGCAAAAATTGGACCAAATTGGGCAGCCCAAGCCTGCAGCACACAACACAAAAGCCTCGTACAGCATGTGGTAATTATCTTCGTCTGTTAGGACAATTGGAATGTAAAGTTGCTTTCCGAGATTCGTCGTTTACTGGGGTATGCTATATAACGCCAGCTGATCTAAATTTACTTGGTTTAGATTGGTTCGACCAGCTAAAATTGGCTGATGTCCCGCTAAATACCATATGCAACCTGGTATCACAACGACATGACCCAGAAGCGTATACGAAGAAGCTGATGACAGAGTTTTCAACCATTTTTGAACCTGGATTAGGTCGGTGCACTGCTATGAAAGCAACACTTCGGTTGAAACATGGGGCTAAGCCTGCTTTTCGTCCAAAGAGACCTGTACCGTATGCTACATTAGCAACAGTAGATGAAGAGCTGGATCGCCTTCAATGACAAGGAGTTATTACTCCCGTTTCTTACTCCAGTTGGGCAGCACCTATAGTCGTTATCAAGAAGGCCAACGGCACGATACGTATATGTGCTGACTTCTCTACAGGTCTCAACGCAGCTCTAGAACAGCATCATTATCCTCTGCCAGTCCTAGCAGATCTGTTCACTATGCTGAATGGGGGAAAGTTCTTCGCAAAGCTTGACCTAGCTGATGCTTATTTGCAAGTGGAAGTCGACGAAGCATCTAAAGAGCTGCTTACTATCAACACTCATCGTGGTTTGTTCCAGTATAACCGTCTACCTTTTGGAGTTAAGACTGCCCCATCTATCTTCCAACAACTAATGGATACTATCCTGTCAGATATCTCAGGGGTTGCAGCTTATCTCGATGATATCTTGATTGTTGCGAAGACGTTAGAACAGCTACGGGAACGCACGACATTGGTACTACAACGCATCAGTGACAATGGTTTCCGGTTACGCCCAGAAAAATGCCAGTTTCTATTGCAGTCGGTAAAGTATTTGGGATTCATCTTTGATGCCGACGGTCGCAGACCGGATCCTGAAAACATCCGAGCTATCAAACTGATGCCCACTCCCACTAATGTTTCCGAATTACGATCTTTTCTCGGTTTGATCAGTTATTATTCAGCTTTTGTTCCCTCGATGCATGATATTCGCGCTCCATTGAATTGTCTACTGCAGAAGCATAGCACATGGAACTGGACTAAAGAGTGTGACGCGGCTTTTGGTAAACTCAAGTCTATAATTAGCTCGGAATTGTTATTAACACACTACGATCCATCCATGCCGATCATCGTAGCAGCAGACGCTTCAGCATATGGCCTAGGTGCTGTTATTTCACATCAATTTCCAGACGCGTCGGAAAAAGCCGTTATGCATGCATCCCGTACACTGACCCCAGCAGAAAAGAAGTATAGCCAGATAGAGAAAGAAGCTCTTGCCCTTGTGTTTGCTGTTCGCCGTTTCCATAAGTTTCTGTACGGTCGGAGATTCACGCTCCTCACAGATCACAAGCCTCTGTTAGCAATATTTGGTTCAAAGTCTGGCATTCCAGCCCATTCTGCAAATCGTCTTCAGCGATGGGCCTTGGTACTTTTGGGGTATGATTTCGAAATCCAATATCGACGTACTCTACAATTCGGTCAAGCAGACGCCTTGTCACGACTCATTAATGATCAGGTGGCGGCTGAGGAAAACATGGTGATCGCATTTCTGTCAGTAGAAGACCACGCAGAATGTTATCTGACAACCGCAGTTCGCGCATTACCGGTGTCTGCAACAGACATACAAAATGCTTCTAGAAACGACCCCATCATCAAGATGACGATGAAATATGTCACTAACGGTTGGCCGTCGAAAAAGTTTGAAGGTGACATGAAGCAACTGTATCAGCGGCGGGAGTCACTATGCATCGTCAACGATTGTCTGATGTTTGGTGAAAGAGTAGTGGTGCCAGAATCCCTTCGTGCAAAAGTGCTGAGACAGTTCCATCTTGGTCATCCTGGGATTAAAGGAATGAAGTCCATAGCCAGGAGTTATGCATACTGGCCTCACATGGATCAACATGTCACAGCGTTGGTTGAAAAATGCATCCGGTGTCAGCAGGCGGCAAAGATGAATGCCAAAATTCCGCCGGTTTCATGGCCCAAACCTGAGCATCCTTGGTCCAGGATACATGTCGACTTCGCTGGCCCAATAAATGGAACTATGTATTTAATTGTCGTCGACGCCTTTTCTAAATGGCCGGAAATCAGCCCCGTTATGCCGCCCACTACAACTAAGACTATACAGCTCCTAACTGAAATTTTCTCACGAAATGGCATACCAGATGTGATCGTATCCGACAATGGCTCTCAATTCACCTCTTCCCAATTCCAGAATTTCTGTCAACGGCTAGCTATTAAACACTTACGCTCGCCACCATACCACCCGCAATCGAATGGGCAGGCGGAAAGGTTTGTGGATACGTTTAAAAGAGCACTGCTCAAGTCAAAAGGGGAGGGGACGCCAGCCGAAGCGTTACAAAATTTCTTGTACGTCTATCGGACAACACCAAATGAATTGTTACCGGAGCAAAAGTCCCCAGCTGAAATCCTGATGGGAAGAAGATTGAAAACGATTCACAGCCTGATGCATCCGACCAATGCACCCTCATCAGTAGAGACAAAGCAGCAAAGACAATCCGCTTACGAGGTGGGATGCCCTGTGTTTGCCCGCGACTACAGAACGAACCATGGTCCTTGGGTAGAAGCGAGAGTGGTCAGAAGGGTTGGTCGAGTTATGTACGAAGTAGAGGTAGGAGGTGATAAATGGTCACGTCATCGCAATCAGATACGCAGACGGCTAGCCCCAGATCGCCCATCAAGAGCAGAAAGCCTTCCCCTTGACATCTTGCTTGATACCTTCAACCTACCGAGAGCCCCGCCACGAGAAGAAACTCAGCAGCAAGCTGTTCTTCGTTCCCGAAGGTATCCCCTCAGACAGCGGCGAACAATAGTCAAGATGCAAGTCAACCACAGGAGAACACGCTATTAAAAAGGGGAGGAGTGTTGGGGATGTTAGATCCCCAAAATTCGCTTGATAATGCCGTATTTCGGTTTTCACGTTCGCCAGCAGGGGCTGATCAAATGACCTTGAGATTTCAATTCCCACCAGGAAAATCAATGGCTGTGATTGGCTACAGTGTATTTTAGTATGCTATTTTCTTAACTGTCTCAAGGACGTTGTTATGTTGTATAAATAAACGAGAGTTGTATGCTTGATTGTACTGGGATTGCTGGGTGCTTGTAGAATATACTTCTACGCCTACAAAGTCTTCTATTTCGATTCTGGGTATTCAGGGTAGCCTTCCTGGAAGCTGGTAAAAGTCTCGTTCGCGTTTATCGACTAAGGTAAACTCGTAATAGCCTCAAGCATCCTAAGTGACGAACTTATCAGCTTCTCACTTCAGCAATTTAGCATACTGGTTAATACTATAATACATTGATTTATTGATAATGTTACAGGGGATGAGTTTCATTCAGCATGTTACGTTTTAATGTTTAAACGATATTTACACTGCTAATTTGTTGAGATTTAAAAATTCAAATGTTACACATTTGAAATCACCAATTAATCATTGTCAAACTACCATTAGAAACCTGGAAGCACTGAATGACAGCAGTTTCGTCCTGGTGTGGGACTCATCAGCAGTGATCCAGTGGTCCGGAGGTTAGGTGTTCGCGCTCAAGTCTGAAGGTCCTTGGTTCGAATCCTGTGAGATGCAGGTGTCGTGGATGAGCACTGCCACTGATGAGTCCCATACCAATTGCTAAACCATGATCCATGTAGTCAGTCAATCAGGTAGTGAACTTTGTAGTGGCGGGTATTCAATAAATGTACAAAGGTATACTGTTCGTCCAGATAACTACTAACTAGATAACGCCCAATAGTGTATACAGTTCACAGTACGAATACAAATCGTTGATGACGAATATTATCGCGCCACACCGTTTACAAAACCAAAAGCATATGAAGCAAAAGCCAAATGATATGCGGATGCCGAAGTAAGAATGAATAGGAACATAATGTACATTTTTATGCATATATGTGAGAAAATGAACGAGTGACAGAATTATTTGAGTGACTAACGTAAAAGCTAGTAGAATATTTGTGGGAAGGCTGTAATCGACACTCAAGCATACATATGCTCATGCAAGTGTGACTATTACTATTTGAATGATTCCAATCTGTTTTAAAACAAGTTAACAAAAAGGGCTTAATCAAGTTACATCTAAACAAACTCAAATGTATATGAAGTGTTGGAACTACTGTGGTGCGAGCTACTTATAAGTAGTATATGACGTGAGTGTCAACGTAATGTCTGGCAGCAGAAGATGGGGGAAGATCAAGAAAAAGGAAGAGTTAGAACACAATGGAATTTGTATGAAATGCATGAATAGTGACAATGGATTGATGTTTTGCAACAGGAACAGTCCAGTTCGATATGATGATGAACTGATATTTTGCAAATGAACAATTTACGATATGGTTTTCCTATTTTACTGAGTAACTCTGTAATTTTCGTTAATTACAATTCGGTTGCCCCACCTGTGTTCTCCTTCACTACACTACTTCAATGGGATAGATCAATATTCATTTCATAATGACTAAGATCAGCGTTAACATGCTGAAATTCAATTAGGAAATTTTAGTTGTAAACGCTCAATAAATATACTTGATACTACTCATAAGTATAACTAGAAAATATTATATCAATAAAATTTTCTCATTCTTCGCAATGAAATCAACTTATTTACTGATTAACTTATTAAATTTTAATAAGCTAACAATGTTTGATTAATATTAAAAACTGATATTTTTCTTCTAATCAATAAATTATTTCTATTGGTTAAATAAAATTGTCAAAATTTGATTGGTTCATGGGGATTTTCTATTGCTTTTCTTATGTATGATGATGATGATCATGATGATTGCGATGATGAAATCAAACAAATCAAAAGTCTGTGACACTTGTTTGTCAATGGTAGTTAAAAGAAGATTACATAATATTTCATTTGTATGACTGAAGAATTGATAATCTATAACGAATTACTAACTTACTTACTTACTTATGCCTGTTACCCCCAATGAAGTATAGGCCGCCGACTAGTACTCTACCACCTACTCTATCCTGGGCTTCTCTTTCCAATTCTGTCCAATTTTTTTGTTCATTCTTTTTATATCTTACTCTATTTCTCGGCATAATGTGTTACATGACCTTCCTCTTTTCGTTTGACCATGAGGGATCGAAGTAAGGGCTTGTTTTGTGACGCAGTTGGGTGCTTTCTGCAGTGTGTGTCCTATCCACTATAATAAATTGGTTATCCGTTGATATCCATATTGGATAGCTCACAGACTCGTTTTAAGTGAAGAAAAATGTCAGGCAAGGTTGCTTACTCTCTGTCTTTCTCTTTCTCCCGGTGGTCGACTGGGTTATGAAGACGTCAACATCTGGAGGGAAGCATGGGATAAAGTGGACAGCCAAGATGCAGCTGAACGATCTGGACTTTGCAGATGATCTAGCTCTTCCATCCCATACACGACAACTAATGCAGGAGAAGATGGTCAGTGTAGCGTCAGCCTCTGCAGCAGTAGATATCAACATACACATAGGGAAAAGGAAGATTCTCCGATACAACAACACAACATGCATTAACCAAATCAAACTTGACGGAGAAGCTTTGGAAGATGTTGAGACATTTACATACTTGGACAATATCATTGATAAACAAGATGGATCTCATGCAAATTCGAAGACACTTATTAGTAAAGTGAGGGTAGCATTTCTACAATTGAAGGACATCTTCAACTCAAAACATCTATCATCCAACACCAAAGTCACAATTTTCAATACAAATATCAAGACAGTTCTTCTGTACGAAGTGGAAACTCGGAGAATCATGAAAGTCATCATCTAGAAGATACAAGTATTCATTAACAGTTATCTGCGCAAAATACTTCGGATTCGTTGGCCAGACATTATCAGTAACAATCTACTGTTGGAGAGAACAAACCAGATTCCAGTGGAGGAGGAAATCAAGAAGAATCTCTGGAAGTGGATAGGATACACATTGTGGAATGCACCCAACTATGTCACAAGACATTCCCTTACTTGGAACTCTCAAGGTCAAAGGAGAAGACGAATGCCAAAGAACACACTGCGCCTAGGATAAGAGACAGGCATGAACAGACTGAATAGCTATTGGATAGAACTGAAAAGAAACATTCAGGATAGAACAGGTTAGAGAATGCCAATCGGCGGCCTATCTATAGTCCTTTGAAGGTAACAACACACCAAAGTAATTCGGTAAGTTAATCATTCGCAAATTAATAAATATTGTACCTTTTAATGTCAACTAATGATGTTAAATCATCTTTAAATTAAATTTTAATTAAAGATTTTTAACAATATTTTATGATCGATCACATTGTCTTACCAATTCAGCTGCTCCACCAGGTGTAATACACCTGACAATGACACCTGTACTCTTACTACCACACATACCAAATCCAAGTTGTGTAGCATTATCAATTAATAATTCAATTACTTCTACTTCTGTCCAATCTGTATTTAACTAATAAATCATATTATTAAAAGAAATAAAAAAAATATATTATGCATAAAAGTATACATTCAAATATAAATATATACATATATATACTCATTTAAATAGTTGTGGTACGAGCTACTTATAAGTAGTAGTAGTATATGACGTGAGTGTCAACGTAATGTCTGGCAGCAGAAGATGAGGGGAAGATCAAGAAAGAAAGGAAGAGCGGGAACACAATGGAATTTGTGTATGAAACGCATGAATAGTGAGTGACAATGGATTGACGATGTTTTGCAACAGGAACAACAGTCCAGTTCGATATGATGATGAACTGATATTTTGCAAATGAACAATTTACGATATGGTTTTGCGATTTTACTGAGTAACTCTGTAATTTTTGTTAAATACAATTCGGTTGCCCTCACCTGTGTTCACGTTCACTACATAGTTTGTTTTAATGTGACAAACACGCGATATCAGCTGTGTGTGTAATTGAATCTTTAACTTTTCAAGCGGTACATACACATTAGTGAAATGAATTCTTGAATGTTTCAGTTGGAAATTATTCACTATTTGTTGTAGAATTCCGATCAATTCCGATCAATCATCATTAATGATATTGTATAATGTGATTTGAATTTGTTTTAAATTGACAATGCTGTGAGATGAAGGAGTCGTGCATTGTGCACTGCCATTGATGAGTAGTTCCATACCAGGATGAAACAGCCAGTGCTTCCAGTGCTTCCAGGTTTCTAATAATGGTGGTCTAACAATGATTGATTGATTGATTGATAATTTCAAATGTGTATAATCACTAATCTTCATAAATCTAATTGAAAATAAATCGTCTTTCAGCTTTGAAAAGTAATTTTACAATATTTTGAAAATAAGTTATAGATTACTAGTGATGAGTAGGATTAAATTTCTTATATTCTATCTGTATCAGAAGTAATCAAGTCAGTTATTCAATTTATTATTATTATTATTATTATTTATTATTATCATGACAGATGTTATCTTATTGGTTTAAATTCAGGATGGATAAAAAGGAGTTTTCAATGTTCAAATCATCTTAATTCTTCTAGTGAAAATGGTAGCTGAATGTTTAAATGTTAAAAAGAAACTAGTGATCTGTAGTCTATCTAATTAGAGCTAAATTAAATCTCTGCCAGATCAAGGTAGAATATGGTATCCAGTATAAAGAATTCAGCATCATGAAACGAAGACCTAGAGTTTCGTATTCGACTTGCTTACTTACTTATGCCAGTTACACTCATAGGAGCATAGGCAACCGACTAGCGTTCTTCAACCTACTCTGTCCTGTCTCTTCCTTTTCAGTTCTACCCGATTGCTATACATTCTTTTCATATCTGTCTCCAATTCTCGGCGTAATATTTTCTTTGGTCTTCCTCTTTTCCTTCGAAGCTGACGGTTCCTAGAAAGGGCTTGTCTTGTGACGCAGTTAGATGCTTTCCGCAATGTGTGTCCTATCCACTTCCACCGCTTCTTCCTGATTTCCTCCTCCTCCTCTGGAATCTGGTTTGTTTTCTTCCACAGTAAGTTGTTACTGATGGTGTCTGGCCAACAAATCCGAAGTACTTTGCGCAGACACTTGTTAATGAACACTTGTATCTTGTGGATGATGGCTTTGGTTGTTCTCCAAGTTTCGCTCCATGCAGTAAAACTGACTTAACATTTGTATTGAAAATTGTGACTATGGTGTTGGAAGATAGCTGTTTTGAGTTCCAGATGTTGTTCACTTGTAGAAATGCAACCCTTGCTTTGTCGATCCGCGCCCTCACATCTGCATCGAATCCACCTTGATTGGCGATGATACTGCCCAGATATGTAAAAAGGTATTAACGTGCTTCAAGGTATCTCCATCAAGAGTGATTTGTTTGGTGCTTTGTATTTGACTCCATTTATCAAATTGCAAATTTCACATAATCAACACAGTAGATACTACCATTTCTATTCTAAATAATATTGTGGTGCGCGCTACTTATGAGTAGTATATGACGTGAGCGTCAACGTAATGTCTGGCAGCAGAAGATGGGGGAAGATCAAGGAAGGAAGAGTGGGAACACAATGGAATTTGTATGAAACGCATGAATAGTGAAATGTCAGACAATGGATTGATGATTGACTGAAGATTTGCAAACTAACCGTTTACGATGTGGTTTTCCTATTTTACTGAGTAACTCTGTAGTTTTCGTTAAATACGATTCGGTTGCCCCACCTGTGTTCTCCTTCACTACAATATCATCTGTTATCACATTCAAATATATTAGCATCGAGTTATTCAAGCTCCAACTATTTTATTGTAGGACTAGGACTGTTAAGATATTCATCCAATATCCTAAGAGAATTATTGGTCAAGTCCTATTGGTTAATTCCTACTGGTCAATTTTATGGTCGTCCTAGATATCAATGTCACTTGCTCCAATGTTGTTTCTTATTGGTTGTCCTGACTATCAATGTCACTTCAAATGATGTTTCCTATTGGTCGTATTAACTGTCAATGTCACAGACTTCGATGCCGTTTCCTATTCGACCAAAATGTATAAATACGCATTATCTGTAACGTTTTATAACCACGACCGGGACCAGGGCTCGGTCCCGGATCCCTAGTCCGGGATCCTGATTATCTTCTGGATTCGGACCTCGTACTTTTTGGAAGCTTGTAGAATACACAATCTACTTCATATCACGTCTTCTTATTTTACTGAATATGGGGGTTGGGATAATCGGATTTGAGTAGCATGTCGTGTCACCGGATCCTCGATTCTAGCTGTCGTTTTCCGACTAGGTAATTGTTCAAGTATATCAAGTTGACGTGTTTACGTGCAGGAGTAACAAGGATCCTTATTGATTACTGAGCAATAAACAGTAGTATTTTATCTACTAACGCCACGACAACGCTTCGCTTATATCAATACACACCGACAATTATGGACACACATTTGATTGGAACAACGTGGAAATACTGGGAGGGGGAGGAAAAAGAACACTAGAGAATTTTTAGAAGCTTGGCACTCAGGTCAATTAGCAATCAACCAGCACATCGACATTGACCCAATTTATCAACCAATCAGGAAAATCATAGGTGACACTAGATCAAGAAACAGATCAAAAGAGGGAGGCAATCAAAACATAGTTGCAAACAACGACAGGCCAAAGGTCAACAACAACCAATCAAGATCGAGGTTAGCAGAACAAGCTACAGGTCAAACGTGGAGAAATTCTAATGCTTCACTTCTATCTGAAGTTCGTGCTGATGATGTTGTTCAGAAGAACAATGAAAGCTCCACAACCAAAACAACCAGCTCAGAGAACAAAACACCTTCACAATCATCCACCTGAGCTACAAGTTTTCTCCACCATCTCAAAATCATATGAGCGTGATACGCTTCACATTGTTCGAAAATGGGAGAATTTCGCCAAAAGGCAGGCTTCCACTCGAGAACAACTGTTTTTTCTCCACGAATGTCTTCGTCAGCATGTTCTGCCAACAAGTGTCAGATATAGACCACCAATCAACTGCCCAATGGGATGGCGAATAGCGGAGCAAAGTGGGAGACATATGGTACAATTAATGATCACCGACGCACACTACAGGATCCACAAATACCAACACAACATGGATGAACAAAAAAGAAAACTAGAAGGAATACTAACATCAGAACACTTAACAACGTTGACAACGGCGATTGAACTGTCAAGCAGACGACACAGAGAACAAAGAAGAAGCATCCTCAAAGACAAACTAATCAAGATTTCAAAGCCAACCACAGAAGAAAACGCAAACAGTTGTGTGGTCAACCTATCGAAGCAACATCTAACGACAACAGAAGTACAACTGCACCAAAAAGGATTAAACTACAACACAAAGGATGCTTCAAAACTGGAATTCTTCGCGGCATTAGAGTCATCGCTCAAAACGGCAGGAATAAGTGAAGAAACTCAACAAGAAATAAGACAAACCATAGTACCACTAACTCGACGGAAGAGAGACAACAACCAACTAACAGCACAACAACGAAAAGCTCTGAAGAAACTCAAAACCAGGGAAGATATAGTCATAGTTCCAGCGGACAAAGGACGCACAACAGTAATCATGGACAAGGAGGAATATATCAAGAAAGCCGAGGAGCTACTTCAGGACAGAAGCGTATATAAACCAGTCGACACAAACCCCATAAAAAAGTTGGACAGTCAAATCTCAAGGACTCTAAATAGGCTTGTCAAAACAGGACAAATATCAAAACAAGATCAATGGAGAATGAAATCCAATGGACCAACAATTCCACGATTCTACGGTAGGCCAAAACTCCACAAACCTAACATCCCACTACGTCCTATTGTATCCCTCCCCGGAACCCCGACCTACAACTTATCAAGAGAGATCTCAAGGATATTAAAACATCTGGTGGATGAATCCAACTACTCCATTAAGTCGGCCACAAAATTCTTGGATAAACTCAAGAGGATTCAAATTGACAACGACGAAATGATGATATCCTTCGACGTAACAGCCTTATTTACCTCAATAGAACCAAGCTTAGCCAAAGAAACTCTTTCTCTGCTCCTCACCAACGACACAAATCTACACAAATATACAAAGCTTCAGAGTCAAAGTTTGCTTGAACTCATCGACCTATGCTTAACAACGTATCTTCAGTTCAACAACAGAGTCTACGAACAAATAAAAGGAACACCAATGGGATCACCAATATGAGGACTCATCGCCGAAGCTGTAATGCAGAGACTGGAAGCGTCGATTCTGCCAGTGATCAAGCCAAAAATGTGGGTTCGCTATGTAGACGACACATTCGTTATTGTCAAAAGGAATGAGCTGGAGAAAATCTACAATCAGATCAACAACGTCTTTGATGACATCAAATTCACGATGGAAAAGGAATCAAACAACAGCCTACCATTCCTGGATGTACTAATCACCAGAACTAACACAGGAAAACTAGAAACTCAAGTATTTCGGAAGCCAACCCACACCGACGTAATTCTCAACTACGACAGCAACAACTCAAGGACCCACAAAATCAACTGCGTACAAACTTTGTTCAAGAGAGCGAAGACACACTGCAGCACATACGAAACATTAAAAAACGAGGAAAAACATCTGATGACTATCTTCCAAAAGAACGGCTATCCACGCAACTTCATCAAAAAACATCAACCAAAACTATCATCAGAAGTGAAATCAAGCACAGGAACAAATAAACGCATCATCCTACCATACATCAAAGACATATCAGAGCATACGGCACGACTACTGAAACCATTTGGAATAGGTGTGGCACACAAACCAACGGAATCACTTCAGTCAATCCTATGTAGACCAAAGGACAAAATGACAAAGGAAGAAAAACCAAATATCATCTACAAAATAAATTGCTCAAATTGTGAAAAACACTACATAGGACAAAGTGGACGACCTCTTCAGCTCCGTTTACATGAACATCAATTAGCAGTCAAACGCCATGACCATTCTTCACTTATATCAATACACACCGACAATTATGGACACACATTTGATTGGAACAACGTGGAAATACTGGGAGGGGGAGGAAAAAGAACACTAGAGAATTTTTAGAAGCTTGGCACTCAGGTCAATTAGCAATCAACCAGCACATCGACATTGACCCAATTTATCAACCAATCAGGAAAATCATAGGTGACACTAGATCAAGAAACAGATCAAAAGAGGGAGGCAATCAAAACATAGTTGCAAACAACGACAGGCCAAAGGTCAACAACAACCAATCAAGATCGAGGTTAGCAGAACAAGCTACAGGTCAAACGTGGAGAAATTCTAATGCTTCACTTCTATCTGAAGTTCGTGCTGATGATGTTGTTCAGAAGAACAATGAAAGCTCCACAACCAAAACAACCAGCTCAGAGAACAAAACACCTTCACAATTAGACTAGTGTAATTGATGTGACATTACGATATACGCTATTCTAATGTTAGAATATAACTTTTTACGCGGTTTCACTTCATCTGTCTAATATCGATAACATCACGATTTTCAATACACACCTTACTGAAAGAGGTCAGCCATAAGAGAATTTAGATTTGAAGATTTTTCAAATACCGATATCTCATTCAAAAGTATAAAGAATTAAAACCAAAACAGAATAAAAACCTACCATTGTTTTGACGTTTCCTTCTTGATGCAATTTAACTCATTTGGCAAATAGTTTACTGACTGGGAATGTAAACTGAAATAACTCTCTGCTTATTCCAGCTGTTTACTTTTTTCGTGAAGACTTCTCAGGTTTTCCGATTATCCGGTTGTTGATCAGAGTGGAACATGTGTTTCTGAAAATAAGCCGAGATAGAGAAAAGATATATATATATATAACTAAGATAGTTATTTTCAAATCTTATCAAGGTTTCAAGTGAAAACCATGAACTGTTACAAAGTACATGGATTAGTATTTATTCACACAACGATCTTTACTAAAGCTGATCAATAATTCAAGGTTAGTAAGTATTATACTATTGATTTTGATTTTACGTAAGTAAACTCTTTTCGGTGGGTTTTTTTTTCTATTTGAATTTTATGTTCTGAGATGTTGGAATTTTTTAGTTCAGAAAGCTAATTAAGGCACTCAGTGTCAAAGAGGATGGCCAAGAAACATATTACACTGAGAAATGGTGACAGACATGAGAAGAAGAACTAGAAAGAGGAGGCCCAGGACAGAGTACGTTGGAGAATACTAATTGGTGGCCTATGCTCAATTAGGAGAAACAGGCATAACTAACTAATGTCAATAATATTTGTAAGAAAAACTGGGTAAAATAACTAGAAAGAGTTTTGGTGGGAGTAACTATGACTCTCTTAAGATAACCAAATGCCTCTTCATCTAATTACACGTGGCCTGTTCATGCGGTGCATATTGAGTGACGCAATCGGTGATCGGAAATAATCGGTAATCCGTTCCGGGGTGCCGGGGCTAGCTGGGAAAGCCTGCTTTGTCGCACATGCCGATTGAATATTGTGGGTAGTGGTTTGGTTGGAGGGACTGAATTGATTTATCAGCAACCGGGCGGGGATGATGTTTGTATGCACACCATGAACTATTACAAAGTACATGGATTAGTATTTATTCACGCAACGATCTTTAACAAAGCTGATCGATAATTCAAGGTTAGTAAGTATCATATAATTGCTTTTGATTTTTCGTAAGTAAAATCGTTCCGACTGTTCTTTTTTGTTTGAACTTTATGTTCTGAGATCTGGAAGTTTTTTTTCAGTCCAGATGGCTAATTAAGACGTTTAGTGTCAAAGAGGATGGCCAAAAAACACATTACACCGAGAAACGGAGACAGACGTGAGAAGAATGAACAACAGTTAGACAGCAGTGGAAAGAGAGTCCCAGGCCAGGGTAGAATACTGGTCTGAGGCCTATGCTCAATTGGGGGTAACAGGCGTAACTAACTAATGTCAATAATACTCGTAAGAAACATTATATTCTTAGTTAACCAACAAGCCTCCTGCATATGCACGCCGCTGATTTTTAGGCAACACAAGGATTGTCACAAATGCCAATTTTGCAGTCACGCCTAACCCCATACGGGAACGCACATGTTGTCTAGATTGGTCTGCAGACAATTTCAAGCCCAAAAAGCACGCACACGAGCAATAGCCCCTGTTCGGGCACTTATAAATCAATTCGATTCCTCCAACCAATCCACTATCCACAATCCCCAATCGGGAAGGGCGGCATGGCGGGCTTTTCCAGCTAGACCTGGCACCCTGAATGGATTATCAAGCCACCCAGCAGTGCACTAACCAGCAGCCGTTCCAACCGTCTGGTCTCCAATTGCCTTGTGCTGATACAATCGATTGGAGCCCTCAAACTCCACATGAAGCTAAAGAATCGAGTTCGTCCCACAAGATCAGCCGGAACATACACCCTCCCATGGGGTCAAGCGCACCAGCTCCGGCGAGACGGATTAAAAAGATTTTTATAAAGAGTTTTATAAATATATAATCCGTCTAATAATAATATTAATGTTAATTGACTTGTTAAGCGAGTGGTTGACTATCCAGATAGTGAGATGGGTCCACAATGCTTAATTTTATAAGTTTAACTAGAAATAATTTTACCAAAGATCAAAATGAGTAAAGTTGATTACAAATCGATTATTTCATCGCACTGTAGGTGACAAGCATTTCATTATTTGCATTTTTGAAGTAATTACTCACAAACAGTGGAACTGAGAGATAGTAGTACTAAGATTATATAAAACGTTTTCAATAAAAGTGGTAGGCGAACAGATGAAGGCAGTAAATATTCTTTGTTAAAAGCAGTTAACATTTATGTTACCGTTGGGTTCGTCACTAAGTATGCTTGAGGCTATTACGAGTTTACCTTAGTCGATAAACGCGAACGAAACTTTTACCAGCGTCCAGGTAGGCTACCTTGAATCCCAAACTGAAAAAAAGAAGACTTGGTAAGAGTAGAAAGTATATTCTACAAACACCCAGCGATCACAGTACAATCAAGCATACAACTCTCGTTTATTTATACATCATAGAAACGTCCTTGGAACATTCACAAAAATAGCACACTAAAATACACTACAGCCAATAACAGCTATGGATTTTCGTGGTGGGAATTGAAATCTCAAGGTCAACTGATCAGCCCATGCTGGCAAACGTGAAAACCAAAATAAGGCATTCATCAAGCGAATTTCGGGGATCTAACATCCCCAGCAGTTACACACTGCTAACGACTACCTCCTACATTGATTTTAAATTTTAGTTTACAGAGGAGGAGATCCAGTCAGTCAGTTAAAACGTAGTACTTCGTACATACGTACGTACATAAGTTCAGGTTGCCATACTACCTTAGCACAGAGACACAATTGTCACTTCATATCCCATAGTAGTAGATGAAGTAGAAGTATTAGCAGTAATAGGAGAGGTAAGGGTTCGAGGATATTATTCACGAAGTAGAATCTAGTGAAATAAACTTAAAAATAAAAAGATAAAATGATGAGGAATTCAGAATAGATGCACCTGTGCCATTCCAAACGTTTTTAAGCCATGTCATTCAGTACCTCTAATCATCGATTATTATCATCTCGCTAGCCCCAACCAGGTAATAGACACTTACTAACACGACTCAATCCAGTTGTCAGTGACTTCAAAGATATGTGTCACGTTTTGGTCTTGCCGCCTCTAGCTTTCTTCCAACCTTTCACCTTCATTACAAAACATAGCTCGACTAGGCAGTTGGTAGTTAGGCTTACGCAACACATGGAAAGAAGTTAAGACACTCCAACCAAATATGTTTTCTCAATCCATTTAACAACTATTGGTTGGTAGTTATCGTTTACTGGGTTCGATCCTGGAGATAGCTATATTACATAGTTTAGGTTCATTTCGGACATAGTCCTATCTTCTGCAAAATCTTCTCCGCTTTTCATAGTTAGGTTTATCTAATCCTTGTATAATTACTATCTGAATCTTCCCTTTGATATTAAGTATTGTAATTGACCAATTTCGTTAGTATGTTTGTACCCAACAAGAAATAATTTGACATCATTTTCTAGTCAGAGTCATTTAAAGACAGAATTGGACGTTGATTGGCAATCCAATCATGGAGGCATATTTGATCATATTTTCGATTTATAAGCTGTATTTTCTTGAACCAGAGTGATGGTGTTCACACCAAGAGTGGAACTAAGTACATTTCTTTTTTAACCAAGAATCGATATGTCCATTAAGCTACTGTATTCAGTCTGATTTATTTCTTGTTCATATCGCGGAAAATGCTTAGTGAGACAATCACTGAAAACTAGAAAAGGAATGATAGCTGTTTTATTCTAGTATGGGACTCTTCAGCAGTATTCATCCGTAAACCTTCTGGGGGTCGAACCTTGGACCTTGAGGTCTCAAGGCGAGTGTTTGTACATCAGGCCACTTCGCTGGTATCTGATAGTCTTACTAGGTGTAAGGTAGTTATATATACCTATGGTATTAGAAGAACTGTTTGAAAGTTCTGATGAAAAGTCCCATACTAGAAGAAATCAGTTTATCATATGTTGCCTGCAGTTCAGTGATTATCAAATTATAGTTATTCCTTGATGTTATCTATGAAACTTCAGCAATCTCTACATTCTCTCTATGATTGCATTTTTCCATGTTTCGCAATCTACTGACCTTCTTACTATTAGAGTGTTGGTGTCCCCTTCTACTTCTGTGATAATGTCATACAACACCATGAACTGACTAATTAAATAATTCAGTTCTGTTATACTCGTTTCGAAGTATGCTTAAACTATTCTCGGTTCACCTTAGTCGAATAACGAGAACAAAACAATGAACCAGCGTCTAGGTAGGCCTTTGTGATCCGATTGTCCCAATTGTATCAACAAGAAGTCTTGATATAGCGTAGAAAGTGTATTCTACAAACACCCAACCGGCACACAATCAATCCAAGCACTCAAATCGCGTTTATTTATACTCTATAGAGACGTCCTTGGGACAGTCACAAAAAAGCACACTAAAATGACACAGTAACCAATCACAGCCAAGGATTTTCCTGGTGGGAAATATGATCTCAAGGTCAACTAACTGATCGGCCCATGAAATAAAACCAAAATAAAAATATTTATCAAGCGATTTCTAGGCATCTAACATCCACAACAAGTTCACTATTGACTTGATTAACAACCTCGCAGCTAGATCTTCAAGAAATCTATCAAACTTTCCGTCAATATTGGACAATGAATGATGAATAAAAATTGTTTTTATTACTTTATTGGATGATTTCAATATATTTTAGAGAAAAATGAAATATTTTTCCATGTGTTTCTACATTTTAGTAAAGTTATCTTTGTGTTTTTTTTTCATGTTCTACTCCTGGCGACAATAGTAATAAATATATCTATATTCAATTTCTGAAAAAAACATGGCTACATGATTGATTTTGAGACGACATATAATAATATAAACTCCACAGTATTATGAACTTATGTCGTTAACTAGCACAGACGTTGATCGATTTTTCATATGTCATCTTTTTGTGTGTCTATCTATCTAATTTGAAAATATTCATGATGCTTGTTTTTCTATTATCCTCTCATTGTCTATTCATCCCCAAAACAATAGATAGATAGATATATGTATATATAT